CTAGGGGCGATATCATATATACCTGGCTACACCAGTCATGATATCATTAGTATCTCAATACTTCAGCATAGCAACAAGCTTGTGAACAAAGGCTAAGATTTGAAAGGTAGTATGATTTAGCTTGAATGTAACCAGTCAGATAAATTGATCCATGTTTTAAGCTTTGGCCTGGGCTGTTGAATGAATGTTTACCAATGAAGAATCAGTATACCAAGATAGTGTTATTCTTTCATTAGGTACATGTTTATATGTATTTTTAGCAATGAATCAGGATACAGGTCAATATGAATTGTATTTTGAACTATGCATTCTTTCATTTTCAGTCCAATATGTCAAGCTTATTTGTGGAGTCTAAAGTTGCTTGAGTACAGCTAAACCCAGCAAACACACATTGGGCCAGTGTAAGTTGAATGTTGCAGTTAGCATGCTGACATTGGGTCACTGAATGTTGCAGTTAGCTTGCTGACATTGGGCCACTGAATGTTGCAGTTAGCATGCTGACATTGGGCCAGTGAATGTTGCAGTTAGCATGCTGACATTGGGCCACTGAATGTTGCAGTTAGCATGCTGACATTGGGCCACTGAATGTTGCAGTTAGCATGCTGACATTGGGCCACTGAATGTTGCAGTTAGCTTGCTGACATTGGGCCACTGAATGTTGCAGTTAGCATGCTGACATTGGGCCACTGAATGTTGCAGTTAGCATGCTGACATTAGGCCACTGAATGTTGCGGTTAGCATGCTGACATTGGGTCACTGAATGTTGCGGTTAGCATGCTGACATTGGGCCACTGAATGTTGCAGTTAGCATGCTGACATTGGGTCACTGAATGTTGCGGTTATGATTGCACTTAGCAAGTATTGGCATGCTAACATTAGGCCAATGTTGTGGTATAATCTTCAAGAACATATATATTTATACTGCTTTAAGAAATGATAAAGCATCAAAATGCGATTAACTAAAAAACACTCCTCAACCAAGTGACATTTCTGTATGTTTCCCACTATTATGTAGTTCTGTTTGCCCTCATTTCGCCTACACCCCATTTGGCCTATAAATTACAAAACAGGATTACTGGTTTAATCCACTTTGAATTTTATATCTCGCCTTTGTGCAAATGACTAAATCATAAGTTTTCATAGTACACTCTGATCCTTGAGTTTGCTTTGATTGTTTAATCCACTTTGTACTATTGTTTATATTTACTTTGATCATCTACACAGTTTTCACTATGTTAATACAATCTCCTCTACTCCAATTTTGTGGTGGGCATATATATCTGTACTTTGTCTGTGCTTCAGTCTGAAAATGACAATATCAACAATTAATGGCAATGATAACGATAACAACGGTGAAAAAAGTAATTATAATACATTTCTATGTTGGAACATAAATGGCCTTAATTCTAAATTAAGTCAACTGGCTAACCTCACAGGGTTATGTCAACAATTTAATGTCATCGCTTTCGTGGAGACGTGGGCAAAGAACCCAGTAGATTTTGCTACTCTGTTTCCAGGGTATATCTCCTACCAATGTGTGCGAGAACGCATCCACTCTGTCGGACGATTCAGTGGCGGTATTGCTGTGTATGTGAGACAGTCCATCGCATCAAGATTCACCCGTATACACGCCGAGTGGTCAGACTGTATATTTTTCAGAAGCGACATTATGAACGACCTCGCCAATAAACCCAGGATATTTGGGTTCGTATATGTGACTGATACACAGAACTCTGTTGATGTAGGACTTTCAGGAATCTAGAGTAGACTATATACTTTAACCCGAGAACATCCCGATGCATCGCTTGGTTTATTTGGAGATTTTAATGCCCGTATTGGCGACAAACAGTGTTATATAGAACATGACTCCACTGAGTATTTACCAATTGAAGATATAGACTATGAGAGTGATCCATTTAACGTTCCTAGATCATCCAAAGATAAAATCGCAATTCAGAGGGATTAAAACTCCTTGATATAAGCCGCAATTTTAACATACATGTTTTAAATGGTAGAAACGGGAACGATAAAAATGGAGAATTTACATTCATTGGACACCAAGGGAACAGTGTTGTGGATTATTGTTTGGTTTCCTCATGTTTATATAGATATTTCGAGAACTTTGATATTCTAGCGCAATCCGAATCGGACCACTTGCCTGTAATAGTAGATATGAAAATATCACATGACATGACACATGACAGCAATCACTCCGAGCATGCGCTTGCAGAGGTACACAACATTGAGACAGAGCGATGGGACCCTAGCCGTAAGGGTGAGTTTATTCAATACATTTCAGATAATATTAATGAATTCAGCATAACATTTCATGATGTATTACATGACAGTGTTGAAGGTGCTATTACATCGTTGAATGACTTTATCCGTAGAGCCATGCATGCACCCAGGGAACAAACACACCGACCCACGAGAACACTTGCACACTCACGCTCACGTGCTCGCCCACAGCACACACGTGTACAGCCCAGGTGGTTCGACCGTGAATGCGAGCAGGCTAAAAGACATAAGTATGTTTTACTAAATAGATTCAGAAAATCAAATAACTCACTGCATTGTAAACATTATCTAAGGGCAAAGAAAGATTTTAAAACACTTTGTGATAGAAAGAAATCAGATTATGAAAAAAGCATTTTAAACGAAATTGTTGATGCTGCAAAGAAACAAGACTGTCGACATTTCTGGAAATCTATAAAGAAATATTGTTTTTGTAGGGAAAATATATCTGAAAATATATCAGTTGACGAATGGTTTAACTATTTCAAAAATCTGCTCGCTGGAGATACGAATAGCATTGATAATTCCTTTGGGGAACATGTTCTTAGCTATATAAGTAATCACAACTTTAATGACTGTGAGGATTGTATTACTTCTGATGAATACCTTGGTAATCGTTATAACTGATAACGAGATATTGTGTGCAGTAAAAGTTTGAAATTTTGAAAATCACCCGGGTAGATGGTATTCAAGTTGAAGTTTTTAAAGAATGTATTTCTTTATTGCTTCCTTTTATGAATAGTCTGTTTAATCGAGTTCTAGACAGCGGCGTTTTCCAGATTCCTGGAATGTAGGATTGATTGTACCTCTGCATAAGTCGGGTGAAAGGGGTGATCAAAACAATTATAGAGGTATTGCATTATTGAATACACTAAACAAAATATTTACCACTATATTAGATAATCGCATTAAGGCTTGGATATCCACTCGTGAACTTTTATCTGAGTGCCAAGCGGGATTTCGAGAAGAGTATTCAACTACGGACCATATATTTACTCTCAACAGTATTATCCATAAATATCTGCGGAAGAAATGGGGAAAGTTTTGTTGTCTTTTTAAGTAGATTTTAAAGCGTTTGATTCCGTTAATAGATCAAAACTGTTATATGTACTACTACAGTCAGGTATACATGGCAAACTCCAACGTCTTTTACGTAATATGTACACCAATGTGAGAGCATCTGTTAGAACCAGTAAATTTCTAATGAGTGATATATTTGATACATATGCCGGAGTGAGGCAAGGTTGTATTCTATCACCTGTACTTTTCCTGTTATATGTTGAAGAACTTGTTAAGGAAATGTTATTAAATGATACGAGAGGTGTATTTATTAACGAACATATCAGAGATCTTGCAATAATGCTATTTGGAAATGATGTCGTGATTCTTGCCGATTCTGTTGTCCAGTTACAATGCGAGATAGATACTCTAAATGAATATTGTTTGAAATGGGGTCTTCAGATAAATATTAGTAAACTAAAGTAATGGTTTTTAAAAATGGGGGTAAAATCTCTAAAAGTGAAAAATGGTTCCTTAATGGCCAAAAATTGGAGGTGGTATCATATTACAAATATTTAGGTATTATATTTTCATGTAGAAATATATTCTCCAGAGCCTGTGAAACATTATCTATGCAAGCTGAACGAGCCCTACATGTCATAAAGAAATTCATATGCAAATATAAAGAATTACCGATCCATGCATCATTTAAACTGTTTGATGGAAAAATTCAACCAATTTTGTTGTGCGGCTCTGAAATATGGGGCATTAACATAAACAAGAATATTGAAAAGGTACATTCAAAGTTCTGTAAGTTCTTGTTGCGTGTTGGCTACAGAACTGCGAACAAGGTTATTTTAGCTGAATGTGGACGTTTTCCACTGTTTATTAACGCCCGATGTCGGGTTATTTCATATTGGCTAAGATTGATGAGACAACCAATTTAACGATATTCAAGATGTAGTTATGAAATGCTTAAAACACTAGATGATACCGGAGATATTAATTGGGTTTCCTTCGTTAGAACTATTCTTTTTAGTCATGGCTTTGGAAATGTATGGCTCGCTCAAAATGTAAGTAATACACAATATTTCATCAAATTATTCAAGCATAGATGCAAAGACATTTATCAACAGGACTGGTATAATGAAATCACGTCATCAACCTGTGTCAACTTTTATTCAGAATATAAATATTGTATTAATACAGAAATTTACCTTTCAAAGATTAAATCACCACAACTTAAGCGTACGCTTACTAAATTTAGATGTAATGCTTACAACTTCAAAGTCCAAGCGGCGCGATTTGCCAAAACTTCAAATGCAATAGATATCCAATGTCCATTCTGCAATTTATCGCAAGAAGATGAGTACCATGTATTACTTGTATGCCCGAAATATTTAGAAATAAGAGAAACATATTTGCCTTATTTTTTCTATAACCAACCGTCAAGACAAAAATTCTGTATGCTACTTCGCACAGAAAATATTGACTTGTTGTTTAAGCTAGCCCTTGTGTTGTACCACATACTTATGTTGAGAGAAAAAATGTAAATTGTGAATGGGTGTTTATGGATTTATTGATGTTCCTATAACTCGCGTATTTACAGGTTGCGCATTAATGCACTGTTATTATTGTACGCATGTACTATTGGCCTCAGGGCCACATATACAAATAAATATGTCTGTCTGTCTGTCTGTCTGTAACCCAAATATAACATATGCTACATTTGACCCCTTTCTATATGGCATTGTGTAATCCCATCTTGACAGAGCTGAGTTTGTATCTTCATTGAGAGACAGTCAGCAGGTCCTACATGCTGGCTACAGGTACAGACTGAGTGTCAAGCTACACGTATGATGTATGGAGTGTTAAAATATTGTATATCAAAGTATACAAACTCACATTGGAAGAGTTCATTATCCTAAAGGGATTAAGGTGATTGTGTTGTGTGCACTCATCCATAAATTTGTTTTGATAGAGGTGTAGGCAAAATGTGGTGTAGGCAATATGAGGTGTAGGCAATATGAGGACAGGCCATCCATGAACAGCTAATGATTCTCCATGTTGAATGTCTGTGTGCAGCGCATAGTTTGTAAGCTGTTATCAGTTTGTAGGTCCACTGATAATCCCTGATGCAAGTAGCTGCAGACACAGGAGGACAAGTTTATCATCTGTAGAACTGGGACCATGTATCATCGGAGATCAGGTGAGGTTCAATTGTGCCTGGTCTTGTGATACCAGGTGATGCAAGAATATTTACCATGACTATAAACAAAACACTCTCTGTCGGGTTAGCCAGTCAACACCCTGTAGGACTCCTATAACACTGATGTCTGGCTGTATCAATATCTTGATAATGTGAATGTGTCAAGGTCTTGTAACTACGAAGAGAGCATGAGTTCAGATGATTAATAACTAGATCATTTTTCTGCACAAGACTTAAAATGAAGTATTCTTGACATTTCTCATTTTTGGGATATATGGAATTTTATAATCTGAGTGGTCTTGGCTCAAGACCAGTGCATACAATCTTATAAATTCTTACACAATAACATTCACTACCCCATACAATCTTACACATTCTTATACAATAACATTCACCACCCCATACAATCTTATACATCCTGATACAATAACATTCACCACCCCATACAATCTTATACATCCTGATACAATAACATTCACCACCCTATACAATCTTATACATCCTGATACAATAACATTCACCACCCCATACAATCTTATAATCCTGATACAATAACATTCACCACCCCATACAATCCTATACATCCAGATACAATAACATTCACCACCCCATACAATCCTATACATCCAGATACAATAACATTCACCACCCCATACAATCCTATACATCCAGATACAATAACATTCACCACCCCATACAATCCTATATACATCCAGATACAATAACATTCACCACCCCATACAATCCTATACATCCAGATACAATAACATTCACCACCCCCCATACAATCCTATACATCCAGATACAATAACATTCACCACCCCATACAATCCTATACATCCAGATACAATAACATTCACCACCCCATACAATCTTATACATCCTGATACAATAACATTCACTTACCCCATACAATCCTATACATCCAGATACAATAACATTCACCACCCCATACAATCTTATACATCTTGATACAATAACATTCACCACCCCATACAATCTTATACATTCTTATACAATAACATTCACCACCACCCATTCTACAATCTTATACATCATGATACAATAACATTCACTCACCCCATACAATCTTATACATCCTTGATACATTCTGATACAATAACATTCACCACCCCATACAATCTTATACATTCTTATACAATAAATCTACCACCCCATACATACATCTTATACATTCCTATACAATCTTATACATTCTGATACAATAACATTCACCAATTCTATACAATCTTATACATCCATCCTGATACAATTCATACAATTCACCACCCTATACAATCTTATACATCCTGATACAATAACATTCACCATTCCCCACCCTATACAATCCTATACATCCAATGATAAATAACATTCACACCCCAATCCTACAATCCTATACAATCCATACATCCTGATACAATAACATTTCACAATAACACCCATACAATCCTATACATCATGATACAATAACATTCACCACCCCATACAATCCTATACATCCAGATACAATAACATTTCACACCACCCAACTTATACAATCCTATACATTCACCACTCCCATACAACTTATATATCCAGATACAATAACATTCACCACCCCATACAATCTTATACATCCAGATACAATAACATTCACCACCCCATACAATCCTATACATCCTGATACAATAACATTCACCACCCCATACATATACATTCTCCTATACAATAACATTCACCACCCCATACAATCTTATACAATTCTTGATACAATAACATTCACCACCCCATACAATCTTATACATCATCCAGATACAATATAACATTCACCACCCCATGAATCTTATACAATAACATTCACCACCCTATACAATCTTATACATTCTGATACAATAACATTCACCACCCCATACAATCTTATACATTCTGATACAATAACATTCACCACCCCATACAATCTTATACATTCTGATACAATAACATTCACCACCCCATACAATCTTATACATTCTGATACAATAACATTCACCACCCCATACAATCTTATACATCCTGATACAATAACATTCATCTACCACCCCATACAATCTCTTATACATTCTGATACAATAACATTCACCACCCCATACAATCTTATACATTCTTATACAATAACATTCACCACCCCATACAATCTTATACATCCTGATACAATAACATTCACCACCCCATACAATCTTATACATTCTGATACAATAACATTCACCACCCCATACAATCCTATACATCCAGATACAATAACATTCACGACAGCCCATACAATCCTATACATCCAGATACAATAACATTCACATCATGATACCCCATACAATCCTATACATCCTGATACAATAACATTCACCACCCCATACAATCTTATACATCCAGATACAATAACATTCACCACCCCATACAATCCTATACATCCAGATACAATAACATTCACCACCCCATACAATCCTATACATCCAGATACAATAACATTCACGAGCCCATACAATCCTATACATCCAGATACAATAACATTCACCACCCCATACAATCCTATACATCCAGATACAATAACATTCACCACCCCATACAATCCTATACATCCAGATACAATAACATTCACCACCCCATACAATCCTATACATCCAGATACAATAACATTCACCACCCCATACAATCCTAGACATTCTTATACAATAACATTCACCACCCCATACAATCTTATACATTCCTATACATTCTTATACAATAACATTTACACCACATTCCCATATACAATCTTATACATTCTTATACAATAACATTCACCACCCCATACAATCTTATACATCCTGATACAATAACATTCACCACCCCATACAATCTTATACATTCTTATACAATAACATTCACCACCCCATACAATCTTATACATTCTGATACAATAACATTCACCACCCCATACAATCTTATACATTCTGATACAATAACATTCACCACCCCATACAATCTTATACATTCTGATACAATAACATTCACCACCCCATACAATCTTATACATTCTGATACAATAACATTCACCACCCCATACAATCTTATACATCCTGATACAATAACATTCACCACCCCATACAATCTTATACATCCTGATACAATAACATTCACCACCCCATACAATCTTATACATTCTTATACAATAACATTCACCACCCCATACAATCTTATACATTCTTATACAATAACATTCACCACCCCATACAATCCTATACATCCTGATACAATAACATTCACCACCCCATACAATCTTATACATCATGATACAATAACATTCACCACCCCATACAATCTTATACATTCTGATACAATAACATTCACCACCCCATACAATCTTATACATTCTGATACAATAACATTCACCACCCCAATCTTACAATCATTCACCAACCCATACAATCCTATACATCCTGATACAATAACATTCACCACCCAATAAATCCTATACATCATGTTACAATAACATTCACCGCCCCCTACAATCCTATACATCATGATACAATAACATTCACAAACCCATACAATCCTAGACATCCAGATACAATAACATTCACCACCCCATACAATCCTATACATCCAGATACAATAACATTCATGAGCCCATACAATCCTATACATCCAGATACAATAACATTCACGAGCCCATACAATCCTATACATCCAGATACAATAACATTCACCACCCCATACAATCCTATACATCCAGATACAATAACATTCACGAGCCCATACAATCCTATACATCCAGATACAATAACATTCACCACCCCCATACAATCCTATACATCCAGATACAATAACATTCACGAGCCCATACAATCCTATACATCCAGATACAATAACATTCACCACCCCATACAATCCTATACATCCAGATACAATAACATTCACCACCCCATACAATCCTATACATCCAGATACAATAACATTCACCACCCCATACAATCCTATACATCCAGATACAATAACATTCACCACCCCATACAATCCTATACATCCAGATACAATAACATTCACCACCCCATACAATCCTAGACATCCAGATACAATAACATTCACGAGCCCATACAATCCTATACATCCAGATACAATAACATTCACCACCCCATACAATCCTAGACATCCAGATACAATAACATTCACCAGCCCATACAATCCTATACATTCAGATACAATAACATTCACCACCCCATACAATCTTATACATTCTTATACAATAACATTCACCACCCCATACAATCTTATACATTCTGATACAATAACATTCACCACCCCATACAATCTTATACATTCTGATACAATAACATTCACCACCCTATACAATCTTATACATTCTGATACAATAACATTCACCACCCCATACAATCTTATACATCCTGATACAATAACATTCACCACCCCATACAATCTTATACATTCTGATACAATAACATTCACGAGCCCATACAATCCTATACATCCAGATACAATAACATTCACCACCCCATACAATCCTATACATCCAGATACAATAACATTCACGAGCCCATACAATCCTATACATCCAGATACAATAACATTCACCACCCCATACAATCCTATACATCCAGATACAATAACATTCACCACCCCATACAATCCTATACATCCAGATACAATAACATTCACCACCCCATACAATCCTATACATCCAGATACAATAACATTCACCACCCCATACAATCCTATACATCCAGATACAATCCCCATACAATCCTATACATCCAGATACAATAACATTCACGAGCCCATACAATCCTATACATCCAGATACAATAACATTCACGAGCCCATACAATCCTATACATCCAGATACAATAACATTCACGAGCCCATACAATCCTATACATCCAGATACAATAACATTCACGAGCCCATACAATCCTATACATCCTGATACAATACCTGTTCCATGTCGGACATTTTTGTAACAATCTGATATTGTTAAATATGTGTAGCATTTAGAATGTTGAAATCTGTTTCAATCAATCAACTAATTTTGATCTAATCCTTTCAAAAAAAGTATATTGTTTTAACATAGGCAAGTGAAGAATGTATTGCATCTGCTTTAGTAAACCAACATATATAAACATTTACTTTTGACAAATCTACTGTGCAAGATAGGTGTTATTAATCAATCAACATTTTATCAGTGATCCAGAACTCAACTAACCTTTCTTCCCTTGTGTTCCATGCATATTACATAACATTTTATACGTTTACCACATCACACCTTTATGTAGAACCCATGCCAATCTTAGTCAAGCTTATATTGAGGGTCAAGGTCATTAAGCAGGTAGCGCATTTATGACTGTCCTATTATTGTGGCTGTAGGCATGGGACTTATGTTTTGTAGTTGTAATACCAGTGTATGAAATAAGCCCAAAACCCAGCCCGACATCAGGGCTGGTAACTTCAAATGTTACCAGCCCAAAATGGATTTCACCAGATCAGACAATCCAAAGAAACTTACTCAGATGTATGGAACATTTTTTCTAAATTATTTTACCAGACCATTGGGTTGGCTAGCTGTAAATGTAGACCGTCCGTCAGAAATCTAGCCCGTCTCGGGCGGTTGGACGGGCCATATTTCATACACTGGTAATACATTGGCCATGTGTTTTGTGAAACTGGTTTCTGGGGCCAGCTTGCTGCTGCTGTTTCGGCAAGTACTCATACTTTTCGATAAGTTTGAATGGAGCTGTATTTGTGCCATTCTGCAGATGGTGTCGGCAAGAGTTTGCCAGACCAACGCCAGGCAGGGTCTAAGGTCAGGCACAGACAGGGGAAACAAAGACCAAACTACTTTGTTGCACTTCAGATCACAAACCCAGAGGTAAGACTGTTTCCCTGTGTTACTGAGGGAGGCTAAATGGCCCAGTGGTTGGAGGGTAGGGCTCAGTTCCAAAAGGGGTACAATTATTTTTATTATAAGGGCATTTGTAATGAGCTGAATTCCACACCACGGAGGGGCACGCTCAAAGAGCTACAATCTGATTATTATTAAACCGCCTGTGAGGTGCTAGAAGGTTAATAGTCATAACACTTATCCCACTAGGTACCCATTTTCTGCTGGATGAACAGAGGCAAGTTTGAACAAACTTTCTTGCTTAAGGTGAGACCACATGTATCACATGTTCTTCGTTGTGGGGCAGGACTGAACTCCTAGAAACACTCAGGAGTCAAGCTGCCAAACACGGTCACCCATTTCTCTCGCGCCCAATGTTGCTTAACTTCAACTGATTTGTGACCAGCACTCTACACACACGACCACACACCACCACCACAATAGGACGAGGCCCATCCTCGGTGTCTCCTGCTGTCTCATTCATGGGGAAAGAATATTTGCAATGGCACATTTGACAAACCCAGAAACTGCCTGCAGTTCATTCATGTTCAGGGGGCAGTCTTGGAGATGACAGTGGTTGTAGGCCATGCTTCTCCAAATTATACTCTTCCAAAAAGCATTCTATTTCAAACATAATGATTGAAAATAATTACTGATAAATGAAATATGCCTCCAATTGCAATGAAACAAAACAACAACATGTGAGGTCAATGTGAAGCAACAAGAACACAAGAAAAACTGACACTTAGCCAGCATGGCGTTATTTGAAAAGGGAAAAACTGTCAAACAAGCCATTTTCATGTGCAAATTGCAAACTGTCAGGTATGCATGCATGGACTTGTGTTTGGTAGGGTTTAAGAGGCAAACATCAACAGATCACTAACACTGACCAGTACACTGTCACAGTGTCCGGAAACTATACTAATGGAAAAATGTAACTGTGCATAACATAAAATTGCATAAAATATAAGTATTTTAAAAGTTATACAAATAACCGAAAATAAACGTACAGTAAAGCACTTTGCATGAAATTTGATGCCACATGCACTTTGTGCACAATGAACTTACTCCCTTTTGGCATGCTTTTTGACAGTTCACACACCTGATATTAAAAATTGAAGAATGCTTGATTAATCTCTAGCCTCTGAATGTTGTGGAAAACACGTTAATTTCAACCTAAAGTATGCATACATCATGCCACAGCTTACAGGAAATCAGCGTCTCCGCGCCGTGCATATGCTGGAGATTGGAATGGTCCAAAATAGAGTGCCAGACATTTTGGTGTCCATTAAATCACAATCTCATCTCTATGGAGATGTTTTCAACATAATGGGAACACGAGAGATTTGACTCAAACCGGCGTCACATCAGCAAAACAACCACATTTGGCTGACCCATCTAACTTAAGGAACTGATTCCAGACTGTCAGTTTGACGGCTCGCAACTTTCCTGGCTTACGTCCAATAAGTTCCAGGACTGTATGGAAGCACAACATCCAGCCCTTACAGCCTGCACGTCTTGCCTGGTGCAGATAGCATCTACGTTACAGGAGGCAAGATCGGGATCGTGTTTTGTTCACTGATGAGTTGAGATTTCATCTGGACAGCTCAGATTGGCAAGGCAAGGGTGTACAGACAGTGAGGTGAGAGGTATGCTGACGCGTGCATTGTTCAACATCGACAGTTTGGTGGCAGAGGCATTATGGTATGGGGGGTCATCACATATCATGGTCAGACACAACTTGTCATTGTCAATAGCAATCTGACAGGTCTGCGATACAGGGATGAGATCATTGGGCCTCATGTGCAACAGTTCATTTGAGGATGGAGATGTAACTTCACCATCTTCAGATAATGCCCGTACACATGTTGCTTGTGTTGTGACAGATTTCCTGAGACAGGAGAACATTCTGGTACAACCATGGCTCTTATCGAGCAGGCTTGGGATGAAATGGAGCGATGTTTACATCAAGCCTAGAATCAGCCATTTACGTGTGCTGTATTGGGACAAGCGTTGGTTCAGACATGGAACAACATTCCTCAAGCTTTCTTCACATTGCTTAGTGTCATCTATATCAAGTCTGCATCAACGCAAATGGTGGACACACACAATACTGAATTTGTGAACTGACTTTTGACACCACACCTCTTCATGGATGTGTCACAATGCCTTGTGTCAAATCATACGATTTTAGATTACGATTTTATCCTGTCAGCAGTCAAACAGTGATTCAGGTAAATGCCACAAATCATGCTATTATCTTTTGGAAAAAAAAATGTCATAACATCCAATAATGTCCGGTAGTACATGTACTGTATCCCTCTGATCAGTTAGGATTTAGAAGTTAACATTTACTGGTCAATGTATTTATACATTGTACAGATCCACCATGAACTGAGAAGGGTCCAGCAACACATAGTTTCGGTCGTCACGGAGATGTGAGATGTGATGGTAGTGTTTTCCTCTGTTGAGTGTCCTGTTATATCTGTGTATTGTGTGTGTCCAGATCCACCAGGAACTGACCAGGGTCCAGCAACATGTAGTTTCGGTCGTCTCGGAGATGAGAGATGTGATGGTGGATGCTAGACATCTACATGTCACCTTGATGGTCATGAAGTTGGACACTGAAGATGAGATGGCAAGGTCAGATAATTTGTGGAGACTGGATCCTTCATGTGACTTGAGAGCATTCATTTATTGTAGTAGAAAGGAAAGCCTTTACTACCCTCATAGACAACCCGTCTCGTCTGGCATACCATGTTGATTAACCCAGTGGTTTAAAGGGTAAAAATATGGAGTTAAATCAATCAATTTTGGTGCAGTCACAAGTACCTGCTACAGTTGTAGTTACCAATGAAAACATTATTATTTTTCTGTACAAGATAGTGAATTGTATGCACAAGACTTGATGTATCTGTGATTTGAAGTAAATATCTGCGTATCAACTGATTAAAGGAAATATTTTATGTTTGTTTTGCACAGAGCACGAAAAGCCTTAGATGAATGTGTCCAGGTCCTGGGAGAGAAGCCTGAGCTCCCAGTCTTTGAAGTGGCACAACTTGGTACTTTTGGCAACAAAGTCGTTTTTGCCCAGATCCCCACTGGTGAAGACCTGGATCAGATCAAGTATATAGATGGTGAGATAAGACCTGAACCCTATCAAGTATCTACTGAAATCATGAAATTATGAAAATGTATGTGTGTATTATGCTGGTAATAATACTGTGAGATATTGTTTTGTGGACATGTTGGATTACATTATCGTGTCAAGGTCACACCTGCAGAAACAATGAGTATAGCAAACAATCAAGTTTATCGATGGTGGTTTTCGTTGACTTTTACCTCATCTGTAATTACACAGTGGCATTTAGAAAGTGGTTAAATGTAACATATCTTATATTTGGGATTACACTTTCTTAGTGAAGTACAAAGTCTAGTACTTTTGGGGTTGAGTCTCATCCGGGATTTGAACCCTCATCTGACTAAAAGTCAAGTGGATTAACGTCTTCATGTGTTGTCTGTCATCTGGTTGTCCATCAGTCCTGTTGTCTGTCCATCTCATTATTATCCCAACCTTTCCTCTATAACTACAAGGACAGTGAAACAGTCTTAAGTTGGGGTGGTTGGGTAGCCATGTGTTTAAAGCATTCACTCATCATGTTGAAAAGCCAGGTTTGCTTCCCCATATAGGTATAATGTATGAAGCTCATTTCCGGTGTTCCCCATAATGATTTGCTGGAATATTGCTAAAATCAGCATAAAACCTTAATCACTCTCTCACTTTCTTAAAGGTGCTTGCAGACTTCTGGTTATGGTGGGGCGTTGGGGTAGCCTAATGGTTAAAGTGTATGCTCGCCATTCCGAAGACCCGGGTTCAATTCCCCACATGGGTACAATGTGTGAAGCCCATTTCTGGTGCCTCCACTATTGCTGGAATATTGCTGAAGGCAGCGTAAAACAAAACTTACTCACTCACTGGTTATGGCCTTAAACATGACCTCCACAGTGGCCGTGGTGAAAATGTCAATTTTACCCATTACACAGGGATTTCTGCAAACAACATTCTGAATCTTGATATGCAGCAAGTATGTGGTCTGTGGAATAATTAATTGTATGAAATTTTCATGTATTCATGTTTTATTAAGCTATAACCTCTGACCTTCATGTACCTTCTCGCTTTACTGGAGGTTCTGTATGTTTAATTTAGATCTCTTCTGCAACTACATGACTTATGTTACAGGAAATTTGTATTGATAATTCCATATATGCCGAATGAACTTTTAACATAGGCACCAGTATTTCTTCATAATTCAGGTGAGCTATGGAGACTTATTTCCTTAGATGCATATCAAGAATATGGACTGATTCCAGTTTAATTGTACAATCCAATCAAGTGTATTTACCTGAGTCACATGCCAGTATTACACAGTAAAGCTGAGATCAGATTTCACAAGTAAAACTGCAGAGTACTTATCTTCACTATGTCAATGTCCTTTCAGAATGTGTACGTGGAAAGATGGCAGAACAAGGAATATATTCCACAGACTCTCGACCACTCAATCCTCATATCAGCATCATGAACATGGAAAAAGTGGGTGGCAGATTCAGACACACAGGTGTGTATACTGACATATTCAGACACAGGTATGTAAACTGACACAGGAATACTGTATACTGACAGGGGGCGGTGGGGTAGCCTAGTGGTTAAAGCGTTGGCTCGTCACGCCGAAGACCCGGGTTCGATTCCCCACATGGGCACAATGTGTTAAGCCCATTTCTGGTGTCCCCCGCCTTGATATTGCTGGAATATTGCTAAAAGCGGCGTAAAACTAAACTCAGTCAGTCAGTCAGTCAGTATACTGACAGATTCAGACACACAGGTGTGTATAATGACAGATTCAGACACAGGTGTGTATACTGACAGATTCAGACAGACAGGTGTGTATACTGGCAGATTCAGACACACAGGTGTGTATACTGGCAGATTCAGACACACAGGTGTGTATTCTGACAGATGCTACTGACAGATGCAGATCAGACACGTAGGTGTGTATACTGGCACAGATTGTATTCTATTCAGACACACAGGTGTGTATACTGACAGATTCAGACACAGATGTGTATATACTGACACAGGAATACTGTATTCTACCAGATTCAGACACAGGTGTGTATTCTGACAGATGCAGACACAGGTGTGTATACTGACAGATTCAGACACACATGTGTATATACTGACACAGGAATACTGTATTCTGACAGATGCAGACACAGGTGTGTATACTGGCAGATTCAGACACAGGTGTGTTTACTGACACAGAAATACTGTATACTAACAGATTAAGACACACAGGTGTGTATACTGACAGATTAAGACAGGCGTGTATACTGACAGATTCACACACAGGTGTGTATACTGACAGATTAAGACATGTGTTTATATTGACAGATACAGACACAAGAATACTGTATACCAACAGATTCAGACACAGATGTGTATACTGACAGATTAAGACAGGTGTGTATACTAACAGATTCAGACACAGATGTGTATACTGACAGATTCAGACACAGGTGTGTTTACTGACACAGAAATACTGTATACTAACAGATTAAGACACACAGGTGTGTATACTGACAGATTAAGACAGGCGTGTATACTGACAGATTCACACACAGGTGTGTATACTGACAGATTAAGACACATGTGTTTACTGACACAGAAATATTACTAACAGATACAGACACAGGTGTGTATACTGACAGATTAAGACAGGTGTGTATACTCACAGATTCAGACACAGATGTGTATACTGACAGATTCAGACACAGATGTGTATACTGACAGATTAAGACAGGTGTGTATACTAACAGATTCAGACACAGATGTGTATACTGACAGATTCAGACACAGGTGTGTTTACTGACACAGAAATACTGTATACTAACAGATTAAGACAAACAGGTGTGTATACTGACAGATTAAGACAGGCGTGTATACTGACAGATTCACACACAGGTGTGTATACTGACAGATTAAGACATATGTGTTTATATTGACAGATACAGACACAGGAATACTGTATACCAACAGATTCAGACACAGATGTGTATACTGACAGATTAAGACAGGTGTGTATACTAACAGATTCAGACACAGGTGTGTATACTGGCAGATTCAGACACAGGTGTGTTTACTGACACAGAAATACTGTATACTAACAGATTAAGACAAACAGGTGTGTATACTGACAGATTAAGACAGGCGTGTATACTCACAGATTCACACACAGGTGTGTATACTGACAGATTAAGACATATGTGTTTATATTGACAGATACAGACACAGGAATACTGTATACCAACAGATTCAGACAGATGTGTATACTGACAGATTAAGACAGGTGTGTATACTAACAGATTCAGACACAGATGTGTATACTGACAGATTCAGACACAGGTGTGTATACTGACACAGGAATATTGTATTCTAACAGATTCAGACACAGATGTGTATACTGACAGAATCAGACACAGGTGTGTATACTGACACAGAAATACTGTATACTAACAGATTCAGACACAGGTGTGTATACTGACAGATTCAGACACAGGTGTGTTTACTGACGCAGAAATACTGTATTCTACCAGATTCAGACACAGATGTGTATACTGACAGATTAAGACAGGTGTGTATACTAACAGATTCAGACACAGATGTGTATACTGACAGATTCAGACACAGGTGTGTATACTGACACAGGAATATTGTATTCTAACAGATTCAGACACAGATGTGTATACTGACAGATTCAGACACAGGTGTGTTTACTGACACAGAAATACTGTATACTAACAGATTCAGACACAGGTGTGTATACTGACAGATTCAGACACAGGTGTGTTTACTGACACAGAAATACTGTATACTAACAGATTCAGACACAGGTGTGTATACTGACAGATTCACAAACAGGTGTGTTTACTGACACAGAAATACTGTATACTAACAGATGCAGACACAGGTGTGTATACTAACAGATTAAGACACAGGTGTGTATATTGACACAGGAATACTGTATACTAACAGATACAGACACAGGTGTGTATACTGACACAGGAATATTGTATCCTGACAGATACAGACACAGGTGTGTATATTGACACAGGAATACTGTATACTAACAGATACAGACACAGGTGTGTATACTGACACAGGAATACTGCATACTAACAGATTCAGACACAGGTGTGTATACTGACACAGGAATACTGTATACTAAGAGATTCAGACACAGGGGTGTATATTGACACAGGAATACTGTATCCTGTCAGATACAGACACGACAGGTGTGTATACTAACAGATTAAGACACAGGCGTGTATACTGACAGATTCACACACAGGTGTGTATAGTGACAGATACAGACACAGGTGTGTATATTGACACAGGAATACTGTATACTAACAGATACAGACACAGGTGTGTATATTGACACAGGAATAGTGTATACTAACAGATACAGACACAGGTGTGTATACTGACACAGGAATACTTTATACTAACAGATACAGACACAGGTGTGTATACTGACACAGGAATATTGTATCCTGACAGATACAGACACAGGTGTGTATATTGACACAGGAATACTGTATACTAACAGATTCAGACACAGGTGTGTATACAGACAGATTCAGACACAGGTGTGTTTACTGACGCAGAAATACTGTATACTAACAGATTCAGACACAGGTGTGTATACTGACAGATTAAGACACAGGCGTGTATACTGACAGATTCACACACAGGTGTGTATACTGACAGATACAGACACAGGTGTGTATATTGACACAGGAATACTGTATACTAACAGATACAGACACAGGTGTGTATATTGACAAAGGAATATTGTATCCTGATAGATACAGACACAGGTGTGTATATTGACACAGGAATACTGTATACTAACATACAGACACAGGTGTGTATACTGACACAGGAATACTGTATACTAACAGATTCAGACACAGGTGTGTATACTGACACAGGAATACTGTATACTAACAGATACAGACACAGGGGTGTATATTGACACAGGAATACTGTATCCTGTCAGATACAGACACGACAGGTGTGTATACTAACACAGGAATATTGTATCCTGACAGATACAGACACAGGTGTGTATATTGACACAGGAATACTGTATACTAACAGATACAGACACAGGTGTGTATACTGACACAGGAATACTGTATACTAACAGATACAGACACAGGTGTGTATATTGACACAGAAATACTGTATACTAACAGATTCAGACACAGGTGTGTATACTGACACAGGAATATTGAATATTTAACAGATACAGACACAGGTGTGTATATTGACACAGGAATACTGTATACTAACAGATTCAAACACAGGTGTGTATACTGACACAGGAATATTGTATCCTGACAGATACAGACACAGGTGTTTATACTGACACAGGAATACTGTATCCTGACAGATTCAGACACAAGTGTTCATATTGACAGATTCAGACACAGGTGTGTATACGGACACAGGAATATGATAGTGGTCGGGAAATAGGCCCGCTGGTCAAGTTATTATCATGGGGGTGGGTCTCGCTTAGAAAGTCTTTTATATAGTAATAGGGTAGGGTCTATACACCTATTAGTCGTTCTAATGCTGTTTCCAAGCGAGACCCTCCCCTGTCGTTATCATCACCTTTGGGTTTGACGATCAAGTGACCCCATCTTCACTGTACAAAAGGGCCTAAATCAACTAGTATGAAACACAAAGACTTATTCAACATATATACACTTATGGAATAACTATTTATTATTGAAGTATAGAGACAATATTCTTTTCTGTGTGAAAGTTGAGAGGGAAGACAACCATCATCAAATGTTATCTTTCTTGCAGTAGCTAAACGTATTGAACCTTCATTATATGGAGAGTTTAAGTCGTCAAAGTTTGGCTGTCAAACTGTCAGGAGCATACAGCTGTGTCTTATGGACAAGCCGAGGGCTGAGTCGGGCTACTATAGACTAGCTCATGAAGTGTACTTAGGTAAGTGATGAACTGTGTGTTCTGGAGTCAAATGTGAGACAAATATAGACCAGCTCACCGTGAGTTGTGTCTACTAACTGAACAGGTGTACCTTGGTCTACTGTAGACGAACTCAACAGGTGTACCTTGGTCTACTGTAGACTAACTCACCAGGTGTATCTTGGTCTACTGTAGACTAACTCAACAGGCGTACCTTGGTCTACTGTAGACTAACTCAACAGGTGTACCTTGGTCTACTGTAGACTAACTCACCAGGTTTACCTTGGTTTACTGTAGACTAACTCAACAGGTGTACCTTGGTCTACTGTAGACTAACTCAACAGGTGTACCTTTGAGTGCACTGTAGACTAGGTTAACATACGAAACATTATTTGACAGATACAATGCACACAATTTAATTGTACACAATTGTTGTAATGAGCCATTCTGTCCTTGCAGACTCCAAACTACCAGTGACAGATCAGGCTGCTCAGGTGTTGGCATGTTCTTCATTTGGGGCTGATCACCAGGCAGCCAGCAGGTAGACTTTCTCCTCATTCCCCAGGCAGCTAGCAGGTAGACTTTCTGCTCATTCCCCAGGCAGCCAGCAGGTAGACTTTCTCCTCATTCCCCAGGCAGCTAGCAGGTAGACTTTCTGCTCATTCCCCAGGCAGCCAGCTGATAGACTTTCTCCTCATTCCCCAGGCAGCTAGCAGGTAGACTTTCTCCTCATTCCCCAGGCAGCCAGCAGGTAGACTTTCTCCTCTCATTCCCCAGGCAGCTCCTCATTCCCCAGGCAGCTAGCAGGTAGACTTTCTCCTCATTCCCCAGGCAGCCAGCAGGTAGACTTTCTCTTCATTCCCCAGGCAGCCAGCTGATAGACTTTCTCATTCCCCAGGCAGCCAGCTCTTTCTCCCTCATTCCCCAGCTCATTCTCCTCATTCCCCAGGCAGCCAGCAGGTAGACTTTCTCCTCATTCCCCAAGCAGCCAGCAGGTACACTTTCTCTTCATTCCCCAGGCAGCCAGCAGGTAGACATCCCCAGCAGCAGGTAGACTTTCTCCTCATTCCCCAGCAGGTACACTTTCTCCTCACTCCCCAAGGCAGCCAGCAGGTACACTTTCTTCTCATTCACCAGGCATCCAGCAGGTCGACTTTCTCCTCATTCCCCAGCAGGTACACTTTCTCCTCATTCCCCACACTTATAGACTAGCATGGCTGACACTCTTACCTACACTTTTCTTCGCCACCATAGACAAGCATTGTTGACACCAAAAGAAGCAGATGTAATCTAAACTACATGTTTCTTACATATTTAGAATTCCCTAAAATGAACTGCTGCATTGTATTAGTCTGACTTCCTGTATAGATCCAACTCCATCAAAGCAAGGCCAGAGGTAGAGTATCTGTTGTTTATTGACTTGAATCACTTCTAATTCTGATGTGTTATACAGGAATGTTAACTACAGGGATAGTGGCTGGTATGCTCACAGGCATGTTCACATTACAGGATGACTGGTGAGGAAGAGGTTCTGTCTACCAGAGAGACAGCTTGGGGTGGCAGGGAGCAGGCTGTTCACTGCAGCAGGAGATGGGGGCAGGACGATGGACAGGGCGGTAAACAAGAGACACAGAGCAACAGGAGAAGGGGACAGGACGATGGACATGGCAGTAAACAAGAGGGACAAAGAGGCAGGAGATGGAGGCAGGGCGGTAAACAAGAGGGACAGAGCAGCAGATGGGGACAGGACGATGGACATGGCAGTAAACAAGAGGGACAAGAGGATGGAGGCAGGGTGTGATAAACAAGAGGGACAGACATGGCGGTAAACAAGAGGGACAGAGCAGCAGATGGGGACAGGACGATGGACATGGCAGTAAACAAGAGGGACAGACCAGCAGATGGAGGGAGGACGGTGGACATGGCGTTAAACAAGAGGGACAGAGCAGCAGATGGAGGGAGGTCGGTGGGCATGGCAGTAAACAAGAGGGACAAAACAGCAGATGGAGGACATGGAGGCAGAGTGGACATGGCATGTAAAAAGAGAGGGACAGAGCAGCAGATGGAGGGAGGACGGTGGACATGGCGGTAAACAAGAGGGACAGAGCAGCAGATGGAGGGAGGGCGGTGGACATGGCGGTAAACAAGAGGGACAGAGCAGCAGATGGAGGGAGGACGGTGGACATGGCGGTAAACAAGAGGGACAGAGCAGCAGATGGAGGGAGGACGGTGGACAGGGCGGTAAACAAGAGGGACAGAGCAGCAGATGGAGGGAGGACGGTGGACATGGCGGTAAACAAGAGGGACTGAGCAGCAGATGGAGGGAGGGTAAACAAGTGGACATGAGCAGCGGTAAACAAGAGGGACAGGTGGTAAACAGCAGATGGAGGAGGAGGGACGGTGGACATGGCGGTAAACAAGAGGGACAGAGCAGCAGATGGAGGGAGGACGGTGGACATGGCGGTAAACAAGAGGGACAGAGCAGCAGATGGAGGGAGGACGGTGGACATGGCGGTAAACAAGAGGGACAGAGCAGCAGATGGAGGGAGGACGGTGGACATGGCGGTAAACAAGAGGGACAGAGCAGCAGATGGAGGGAGGACGGTGGACATGGTAGTAAACAAGAGGGACAGAGCAGCAAATGGAGGGAGGACGATTGACATCGCGGTAAACAAAGAGCGGAGTGGTTTGGGCTTGTGGTTGGCAACGTGGTAGCGGTAGATGTTACAGCAACTTTAGTATTTTATACTGTTGTACATACCCAGGAGAGCTATGGTGCCATGGCACTCCTTTGAACACTTCAAATAATCTATTTTGTTCATTGCATTCAGAAACCAAACAACAGTTGTGTGAGATTATTACTTCTGATACATCATAGCTGTAAATTCCTAAACTGCCATGCACGGTAGGCTGTAATTAGACTAATATATATATATATATATATATATACACTCACAAAATGTCCAAAGTAGTACAGGTGTTCAGTCATAAATATTGCATAGATAAATAAAAACAGAATGCCTTTTTCTCTGGAAAAACAACGATAACCACAAGCCCAAAGGCATTCTGTTTTTATTTATCTATGCAATATATATATATATATATATATATATATATTCTCTTACAGAGGTCCTCTTCAATGCCATACATATTTAATAGTGTGGCCAGGAATACATAACTTCTGAATACCAACAACCCTCATCAACAAGATGCAGTGAGGGTTCTGCATCACAATTATTATATACGCATGGCAGCTGAGAGGACATCTGTTGATGTCTCAAGGTAGTATCAACTGGAATGCTATAATTTAATCGAGGTAAGCAATTCAAAGCAATTATAAGTGTCTAGTATATCATGACAATAATCAAATATGAGACATTGTGTTTGTGTGTGTGTGTGTGTGTGCATGTGTGTGATAACAGGTAGACTTTGATGAATATGAAACGTTTGGTGTAAAATCTTGATACCCACTGATAGACTGTTAGCAGTAAGTTCTCGTTCACTTTTGTGAAAAATCATCTGGAATGAAGTGTTCAATTTACCATGCAGAGGAAGCACATGGATACACACACATCTTTGTTTCGCATTCTAGCACGACATTGTGTGATACTCGATTCTGATTGGTTGAAAGCTTATCAAAACCGTACTTTAATTAGCTGTCCGTAAACTGCCATTTAAGAGACTGATTGACCACGTATGAATATAATGCACTCGTTGACCACTTTTGTTTTTAACGAAACATGTTGGACATCAGCAATTTCTACCTTGGCAGCATCTTTGATGCGTTCGGTTTTTTTTACATTATCGTTGATTTAAGACAGCTAAATGTAATGGACAGCAAAATTGAAAATGAATAGCTTTATTTTCTAATTATGCCATGGTCAATACATCATTGCAGTTGCTGTCTATGCAAGGTCCACAGAAATAGTAGAGCTATCTGCTGTTACGGTGTTTTGGGTCAAACTAGCCATAGCTGGATGTCCGTACATACTTGTTGACCTACACTTGTCTAAATTCATCTGGATTAAACATGATTGTTGTGCTGTGGCTCTGAAGCTGATGCTGGTATGTGTGTCCATACACATTTCTCCACTTGAAATAAAGAACAAAATAAAGACATGATTATCTTGATAATTTTATTATTACCAATGTGGGAGTTGACATGCAACAGGAGGTGTTATCATGTTACACAAGGCTTTCCTGAACACATACATGAAGTTTTATGAAAAAATAGCAAATGGATAGCTAGTAGTTGAATACAGCCAACTAGAAGGTTAGGATTACATGAGGCAGTGGGTTGCCCCTCCCGCTGCTAGCACAGTATGATGATGGGTCTGTACATCCTACATGCGTATATACACCGCTACAGCAGCGGTCACCACTGGCTGCTTCACCCTGCTACAACATACACACACAGGTTACAGACAGAAAGCCAATGTGGCACCTAATGGTCAACCCAAATCTGACTATAATACCATGATTTAATAATTGTAGCTTAGTGGTTCCTAGTTGGTATTGAAGGGTTGGGTCACGCTCCACCCAGCGCTGCAAGCCCATGCACACTCACTCCACTGAGAGCCACCCAAATATGCAGATAGCAGTAGCAGACTAACATACACAATACTAGATACAATCAGGTGAGATCCTGGCACTGTCACATTATGAGAACATTGGTGCATGTTGCTGTCTTGCTCCACTCACACATAAAGCTACATGATACATCCTGCAGCACTGAAGCAGCCACAGTTATAGAACTTGATCATAAACATTGTTTAACAAATAACAAACTGTCAGCGCTACCATCACTGACCTATTCCACTTAGCAGAATTCTGGTACTAAATCAATATTCAACAACAAATAAAAGATTTTGATCATTAGTAAGCTCTCAAGACATGGAAGACCATCAACAGTTTAAGATATCCGGGAAGTGAGTTCAGTTAGATTGTGTAGCCGTGTCTGATCTCCCAGTTCCGACGCGAGGCAGAAGCACACAGCTGACAACAGTGCATGAGCCAGCCTGACACACAACTTGTATCTGAACACATTATTGCATATACACATACTTCAATATTTACAATCAGTAATGCATGCCGATACACAACGAAGCAAAGTATGTACAATATATACCAATGTGGAAAATAAAATTTGTCAACTCTTTAAACACAGATTTACAAATGTCTGTCTGTCCTTATGGAACGAATATAGAAGTGAGATTATTTGATATAATTTCAGAAATATACAGATCATATTGAAGGTAGAGCCTGTTACATACTTGTATTTGCCTGTTCAATAATATTCTGTTTCTACGGCTACTCACAACCACAGGTACCACTTGTATATATATATATATAGATGTATGTATGTATTTATATGTCAGCTACAATGATTGGGCTACATCTGATCTCAACAGAACAAGAGTATTTCTGGATGCAGACTAAGCTGTTACTGGACAGCTTAACAACAGACCCCCATATTACCTACCCAGTGAAGGCACGATGGCAACTAATGCATCATCTAAGGGGTGTACATGCTTTCTGTTACAGTGCTGGGCCATTTTATAGACAACTATCAGAAGCACACAAGGCATCCTCCATTGACTGAGATTGCATGACCCAATCTTTTGATTGATCTGAAAATGCTTTTAAAATAAGAAGTAACCAGTATAATGAACATGGCTGCACTACCAACAGTACATAAGTGTGGAAACAGCTTCATGTATCACAGTGAACCCCAATATTACCATGTGTCACAGACTATCCAGCAATATAACCATTTATTACCCTTAAGATAAATTTGTCGAATTCTGACTGGTCAATAGACAAAGCATATGAAACCATGTAGTCAAATTTGCGAGAGTGTACGAACCATACACCTGGTCAAATCTGTCACGTGACACACTACACTGGTTGTACAAATGACCTTGACCTTAGATGGAATGTGTCTGCCAAAAAGGTGATCTCTTCGAAATTTTAGAGTTTGTATATACAATTATGAGTATAAACAGTAATAAAATTGTTGCCATAATTTCCTATTTGTTTGTATAAATTAGAAAAATTAAAAACAATAAAATGTTTCTATATTTGATTTGTCATTAAACAAAACCTCAAATTTGATCATTTTTATCATAAACTAAGCCAACACGAGTTATTTCCCTTTAAGACCGTTCAGGAAAAATCAATGCGAAACGTTTTGAGTCTAAAGATTATCTAAATAGAGATCTTAAGGGTAACAAATTAGCCTCAGGAAATACAGAATTTATAAGGGTCTTACAGTCCTTACACCCCTTCAAAACACTGTGTAACTAATAGTGTCTCATAGAACCCAGCAATATAACCATGTGTCATAGCAAACCCTGCAATATTACCAGTGTCACAGTGAACCCAGCAATATTACCATGTGTCACAGTGAACCCAGCAATATGACCATGTGTCACAGTGAACCCAGCAATATTACCATGTGTCACAGTGAACCTAGCAATATGACCATGTGTCACAGTGAACCTAGCAATATCACCATGTGTCACAGTGAACCTAGCAATATCACCATGTGTCACAATGAACCCAGCAATAATACCTTGTCACAGGGAAACCAGCAATATTACCATGTGTCATAGCAAACCCTACAATATTACCATGTGTCACAGTGAACCAAGCAATATTACCATGTGTCACTGAACCCAGCAATATTACCATGTGTCACAGTGAACCTAGCAATATTACCATGTGTCACAGTGAACCTAGCAATATAACCATGTGTCACGTTAAAACCCACAATATAACCATGTGTCACCTAGAACCCAGCCATATTACCATTTGTAACAGTGAACCCAAGCAATATTACCATGTGTCATAGCAAACTTAACAATATTATCATCTGTCACAATGAACCCAGCAATATTACTAAGATAACTGCAAAACTGCACTGAAGATTTTGGTCATAAATAGTCTTGCCTATTAATGCACTGGCCCCAGAACAAGACATTCCTAGAAGCAGAGCTTCCCTCACAGACATTCCCACAGAAAAAGATCCAGGTAGCAGGTAAGCATATGTTGAGAAGCAGAAGCAGGTGTACACAGGGAGTGCCAGCTGTGATTTATTATGGCCATCATGAGGTGAAGGTGTGTGTGTGTGTGTCGACACAACTCACAAACAACATGGCTGCACAAAGCTCTGTGGAGAAACACAGTACATGCCAAACAGAGAAAAATAAGCTCTGACAGAATAAAGATAACAATCACCAACAAATTATCAAAATATCACACTCAACTTGGATACCTTGAGAAGATATCTAGGTCTGTTCTAGATAAACAAAGTGATCATACCATATAATCCAGGTTATAGCACCAATAAGCTCTTCCCTTTCCCCTTCATCTCCCATCCCCGTCCCAGTTCTCGTCCCAGTCAGATCCCTTCTCTACCGACCAACCCACATTCCAATTCCCAGCTGCCCCCTGTCACCTCCTAACGCGTCTAGCCTTTGCCCACATCGACAGGATGACGCAGTCTTCACTGCTCCAGCTCACTTGAAGCCAGTCAAACATTCAACATTGGCAGGATTGATATTCATCACTGGAGACAGCCCTCAAAACCCTGTGGATTTCATCACGGTTAATATTCTCAGAAATTAGGAGGTATATTGCAAACACTTGCTTTCCTCCAGCGCGCGCTAAGGATTTACATAAAGAACACTTGGTTCATACTTGAAGATAAATAATGAGGCACTTAATCCCATACAATGAGACCTGTAGTAGTATGCTTTAGTTTTACTATGAAACGCCAACATATACATACACTAGGCATAGAGATGTTTGTGCAGTACATAAAGCGACTAAGCACTGTAGTTTCTGCAATGACCACTACACGTGAGTATTTTGATTTCAACAAGCTACCACTGCCATACCTACCAGCCAAACAGATGAATTCATTAGTTTGAGCAAGGAGTTTACGAACTACCAACTTCCCAGTGTCCTGTATAAAAGCCACAGAAATTCTTATAAAATCTTTGGCTGTAATGGTAAATTCTTTTCCATAACCTCTCCTTGTCCCTCCAAGAGTGGAAGGCTATGAGCAGCCTGTGCCTCCCCCCCACACCACGGGTGCATCAGCAGCAACAGCAACCGCAGCTGCCCTGGCTCACACTGAACACCATTGGCTATGTTACTCTCATATTGCACTGAAAGAATCTTTTCAGATTTTGGCAATGAAGACAGAAGCACAATGTACCAGTCAACACAAGTTCCTAACAAAGCTAGAGGTGCCACCCTGGTGTTCTGTTACACCACTCAGTTTTCTAGGCACCATACTCAGCCCTGAAGTAGTAAGATATGTGTGAAATACAACATTTACAATCCAACATTGCATAATCATAATAGCTGCACAAAGATCAGTTGCATATAAATAGTAAGATTTCTTCAACATAAAAGCTTGGCAAAAGTGACATATGATTTGGAATAATTATGAGAACTTGAATATTAATGGCTAAGGTAGTTGGCAGCTGGTGTAGTGGTGTGTCCCATCCTGTTGGTCAACACTACACCACAGAGTTGCAGCCAACCTACCAGCACAAAGCACAACTCAGCAGAGGTAGAGGACACTGACCATTCAACACACATCGTACACCAAGGTACAAATTACACATTTCAACAAAAGAAATAAGCAAACAATGTCAAAATTTATCCATCACAGCAACCTTGCACCTCCATGTTTTAGTAGCAACCATTCAGTAATCACTTGGTTTCATCACACTGGAAGCCAGAGCATGTGGTTTTCTGTAGTCAGGCCATGCTGGAGATATCCATGGCAGTGCAGCCGATCTCACTGGCTGGTTAGTGTTGGGTCGAGATATGCAGGAGAGTACAGGTGTTGGTCAGAGTAGGGTCTGCACGGTACATTCTCAACACCCAACTGACCAGCAGATAGATGCACCAGTTGACCCCACACACTGCCAGTACCTAAGGATTATATCTATAGAGTATGTGTTTGGGCTTTCGGTTCTGCCCATAACTGGGCTGCTGATGAAGCTCCTGATGAGTGGCAGGTGCCGTCCCAATGACGTTGAGGGTCAGGCAGGTCAGTGATATGATACAGAGCCAACAGCCGCCTGGAGGCAAACGTTGGCCGGGGTGAGACTTCTTGGATGAGCCCCTGTATGACAAGGTAGGGACAAGCTAGGCAATGTTGGGTGGAGTCCTCATGATCGCGGGTTGGCTGGCAGTGTGGCAGACTTGCTGGCCATGGCATGGCCACGCTGCTGGGGTCCATAGGAGGAATACTGCTTTGTGCCTCGTAACGTCCTGCAGGGAGACAACAACGATTAGCATAGTGGAGAACAGGGTCAACATTTTAAAATGATCTCAGTTAAGATTAATCTTCATGGCTTACGGTAAAAGATTAGGTTAAAATTGAAATAGGATATATTTTTCACACTATCTTTCACTTGCTGCACGTGGCAGAAAGCTACTGATTTTTGTTGTGACTGAAAAAGTGGGGGAGTTTCTCAAAGACATCATGGTGATTTCCAGTTAGAGATGGACAGAACATCCCAAGGTAATATGGAATTCATGATAGGCTATAGAAATCAGTACTGTCACTTATTAGATAAAGGTGCCAGCATCTGTATCAGAATATAGCACGGGTGGAATAAAAAGACGCTGAAATTAGAATATCAACTTCGTCTTTATTGAGTGTGTCGTCTGTCCTACAACAGCTGTGTGTGATGCAGAGTGGAAAGTCTGAGACATAACAAAGTCTTGTTTTGACAAATTCAACATATTATCAGTGTGGGTTTATCTGTACAATACCTCTACACAATAACAACAAAAAACAGACAGTCCAACTTACCCTAAATTTCCTGAACTGACAATACCCTTTTTGGAGACCTTTTTACTGAGGTGTTGCACCCAGAGTTTCTGTTTCTCTGAGGATTCTGCTAACAATATCATCTCCTTTGCCTGTATACTGGAATCATATGTAACTGAAAACAGATGGACAGCGTGTTATTCACCCATTCAACAATGCAGGCAATCTTAAATATCAAGTAAGTTCAGCGAATGCAGCCTTGCCCAGGACTTCAGCAACAACCAAGTGGAGATTCCAAGTTGAGACAGTGTCGTCTATGCTGGTTGTGACAGGCAGCCAAATGGACGAAGAGGTCAAGAGGTGTCAAAGTAAAATATTAGTAAAATCTAAATATTTTTTATATTTGTTTACTTATCCTGCACTTATTGCTTACGACTCGAAACGTGGCTGTGCCAGACGATTGATGTTGAAAGCGTAGACTGTGAACACTTCCTGGTCTCGGGTAAACATTTGTCTGCACACGCATCACCGGAAGGTGACGTCAGCCATCTCTGATTATTGCCGTAAATCCCACAGATGAAAACAAAGAGGGGAGGTAGCTGAAAGCGCAGGGTGGGCCCTTATCATAAGTAGTGCAGGATAAGTATACAGATATAAAAAAATATTTAGATTTTACTAAATTTTTAACTAATCCTGCACAACTTACTTCCTGCACATTTATCGGACAGGCAGGATGGAGGGCATGTCATCTGTGGGGATTGCCTCGCAAGGTAAACAAAGACAGCTCAGTCAATGTTATCAAGTGCGCCTTCGGTGGTGGAAAACCGCCGTCGCACCTAGATCGGACAGCGAGTGACGATAAGGCAGTGGTAATACGCATATAAGACACGGAGTCTTAAATGGAATATACCAGACGATTTTTAAAGCGTTATTAGCTTTAGGGAAATGTAGTAAAAAGCAGTGACTCAGGTTAACCCAAGTGTTACTCCTTAACTGACACACCCAGTTGTTTTCCCCGGGAGGTATCTTCGTTGCACCTGGCAGAGTAGTGACTATCTCGCAGTGGTAATTCGCATAAAAGACATGAAGGCTTAAATAGAAAAGACCACGCGATTTTTAAAGCGAGATTAGCTTTAGGGAAATGCAGTAAAGAGCATTGACTTGAGTTTTCAAAGTGTTGCTCCCTAACTGACACACCCAGTTGTTTTCCCCGGAACAACTCTTTTCCCACACAGCGACATCATGCCTCATGGGAAGAAATATCACGAATGAAGACACCTTCGTGGAATCTGGAAGACTGGTCGACAGAGAGGGATTACATCTCAGTGGTCATTCGCATATAAGCCATGTACGCTTAAATGGAAAGGCCACCCGATTTTTAAAGCGTTATTAGCTTTAGGGAATGCAGTAAGAAGCATGGACCTGAGTCTATCCAAGTGTTACTCCTTAACTGACATACCCAGTTGTTTTGCTCAAAACAACTCATTCCCCACACGACATCGTCGTGCTTCATTAGTCTGGCACCAATGGTCGCGAACAACAATGTAGGATGTGATATCCTTCGGGGATTGTTGAGGTACTGGTCTGGCACCAATGGTCCGAAGCGTTGGACACATATGGCGTGGATACTGATTGGCAAAGACGGTGTCTGACTTCTAGAAACACTCTTGCATTATCTGGAGGTTGGCGTAGATGTAGGGGAAACCAGACCAGCCGCATTATACACATGAATAAAGGAAGTCCGTATCCACAAAACACTCAGGGTTTTGCTTACATGCCTCTAACGGCTTGAGTTCGCTTAATGTCCAAACTGAGTACACTAGCTGAACACAGGAACATCTTCACGCTGACAACAGACGATAAGGGTGAAATAGAGAACTGTCGATCATTTCGCCCTAGCTGGCAACGGGTGTGTAGTGATGAAATCCCCATAAAATACTCAGAGGTACAGAACCATGACTGCGTCGTTCCAACTGGATCCAGTTAACACCAAGTGCACCAAACGCATGACCCTTGTCGCTATCGCTGTGCAAGTCTGCAAGGGAAGTGTTCATGAGTGACATGTAAAACACAACGCGTAGGCGGTCCAGGACCATGTTGAGAGTCCTGGCGGGTGGTCAAAACTGCAGCTTGGGTACACAAGTGCTAAAGAAACGAAGCATGGACGGTAACTCCTGTCAATGGGACTGCTAAAACGAATTGCCACTAACATATGTGGCAGCCATGTCCCTCCTGAAATGCCTTCCATCTAAACATACAGCAGGGAAACTGCTAATAAACAGGGGTGTGTGTGTATTCAGCGGATCCTGCTTTGTGGCAACACAATTGTTTTGAACGACTGCCCCTTGTTATACATGTGCCTGATGGGAGTCTAATGTTCATCAGCAATGCAGTAACAATGCTCTGGCTGAAAAGTAATTTGAGCATAATGCCACCTGCACATGCAGTGTTAATTGAACCGTTCTGGCGTGGGATGAGGATACACTATAGGATGTTTCCCCATCTGGCTAGTTGAAGAGGGACACTGGACACTAGACTGCTTCAAATCAGAAACCAACCTCTGGTTGGTCATCTGGGACCGACTAAATATAGTCGAAGTCAAGTTGATAATTCTTGATGGGGACGAAAACATTTGGAAGCAAGACTGGAGGACACGTATTTTGCATGTAGCTCCCCCAGGAAAGGCTTAAGCCATCCGCTGCCCAGGCTGACCATCCTGAGACAGAGACACATAAACCGGTATCTCTTTGTGTAGCATTCAGTCTGTGAAAGCGACTCTTGTCAGATCCTGACATAGCATCCACTAAGCTGTACCTGCACCCAGGAATATGCTGAGTTCTCAGACAGACATGGGTGTCGGCTATTACTGGAAAACAGACGGAACTTCTAGAAACAGTAACCCGGTCAAACTCTTGTTACATCACACAGCAATCGAGTTGCCCCGGGAGACAATGCGCCCAGTGATGGATAGCGAGGAGCACTGCCTAGAGCTCCAAACTGCTGATTGAGCTCATGACCGAAGCCCTGAGATTATCAGATATAGTAAGGGGACGCCTCAATTCTGCATGGAGGTGCCGACCTAAACGTAGGTAGTTCGGAACTCACTCAGTCAAGGGAACCAATACCTACACCCTCTGAAAAACAAAGGAAAAACATCCAAAAGTCAGTTTATTATCAATAAACACAATTCATAGGATACAAATCAGTCGAGCTGGCAAACCACACGTCTTGTGAGGCGTGCGAAAAGCAATAATCTGAGGTGGCTGACGTCACCTTCCGGTGATGCGTGCGCAGACGGATGTTTACCTGAGACCAGGAAGTGATCACAGTCTACGCTTTCAACATCAATCGTCTGGCACAGCCACGTTTCGAGTCGTAAGCAATAAGTGCAGGAAGTAAGTAGTGCAGGATTAGTTAAAAATTTATACAAACCTGTAGAGGTTATGAATTCTTTGAAGAAAGTCCTCCTTGGGGTACATATAAGCATTAAAATGTCCATTTTAAATCCTACGGCAGTTGTAACTATATTTTTCAATAAAATATTTACAAAACAAAAAACTCGTTTTGTCTTGTGAAACCACCCCTACAGGGCCCCATCGGACCCCCTACAGCCAACAGCAGGTAACTCTCGCCGTCTACCTCATACCTCACTTTTCATGCTGAACATATCAGACAGAATGAGGGGAGGTGGGTGGCCGTACCCCAAGGAGGACTTGTTTCAAAGAATTCATAACCTCTACAGGTTTGTATAATTCTTTTTCAGAAGAAGTCCTCCTTGGGGTACATATCCCCTGAATAGCGAAAGGCATAGCCGAACATGTGTTAGCTCACTATTACACTAACCTGGTCACGTGACATGCGGCTCGAAGAGAGGCATACCAAACAGTGACCTGTGGGAGGTTCGTACCCAATTCTGCCGCAAGACGGATTAATAGCATATGCCTGGTTATAGTGTTCAAAACCGGCCCCGCCCTCTCTTGCCTTTAAGTGAAGAGGACGTAAGGGACGTATGTACACCCAAACCTGACCCAACCCGAAAGGGTGGTACGGCTTATACGATGTAGTGATATGAACCATATCGACATTGAACACAGAATCGATACCAATGACCAGTTACTAACTTGGTCAGGCTGGCAGGACACTCTCCACTGGAGAGAACCGAAAGACCGAACCGTGCACGATCCTTACAATGCGTGTCAAGTCGGTAATGGCGAATGAAGGTGTTCTGTCGGCTCCAAAGAGTGACAGAAACGATCTTTTCATTGAGCAGTGCCGCTGTGTATTGTCAACAAAGCGGCATCTGCCCTACCCAGTCTGACTTCAACCCCTCGGGTAAGGTAAACCATAGCATTGTAACCGAACAATTACGGAAACAAGCCAATGAGATAAAGTCCACTAGCAGACTCCCCAGTCTTCCCGCCACCAAACAGAACACATGGGTACCCGTACGGATCCCTTTCGTTCGTTCGTTATAGTCACTCCAACAGGTGAGCAATCGAAAGATCGGTCCCCGGTGTGGAAGGCTGGGTAAGGGGTGGAAGTTCGATATGAGCAGTCACGTGGAAAGCCATATCAAACTGAGAATACGGACATGATCAGCATAAAATACTGTCAGTGTCGGGTTAGTGGGTATCGCATGGATGTACCCGACCCTTCTACCAGAGCTCACCACCAAAAGTAAAGCCGTCTTCCAAGTCAACAAGTGAAGTGAGAGAGACGATATACTTGAAAAGTCAGGGCCAGACAGCCAATTGAGAATAATTGGCAATTTCAAGGTGGGCTCAATTGCTGCTGAGGCGGTCGAACCCTGTTCATGCCAGCTACAAAGCGCTGTACGAGAGGGTGCTGCCTAGGCAGAGCACCATCGAACGAGGTGTGAAACGTGGAAATAGCCATGGAGTACCCGGGAATGGTGGAGGTCATAAGGCTCTCAACCAAAACGAGGTTATAGTAACTTCAATATCCGAACTAAATCCACAGAATAGGGATTCTGATATCCCCCTATCGCACACCAGCACGCCCCTACGATCAACACACTGAACGGGTGTCGAATCCCGCCTCTAAGCCAGAATTGTGTCTGCAACGGCTGCAGGAATTCTGCGTGTCTGGGGGTTAGACCCGACAGAGGCCAAGCCACCCAGAGAATCCGAGGATTCGGGTGTGGCTCCTCGTTCAGAGTGAGAATGTCTGGCAGAAAAGGTCATTCGTATCCTGGCGTGCGGGATCGAACACCAACCTGACTGCTGTCAATTCCAGCACATTGATGTGCAGGTTGTGACTTCGTTGTCAAGAGACCGCAACCCGGCAGGGATGTATCTGGCTGGACTGAGAGCGACGGTGTCTCCAGGGGGAGTCCCTCGGAGAGACGCCTGACGTCTGTCCATCTGACTGCGTGAAGTTGACAATTCGGCATAGTTTCGTAAGAGTGACCAACACTGATCGTGAGGTTCCCAGACTCAACTGTTATTCTAAAACCCTGATGAGCCAGTCGCCTAGGTACGGGTGACAACACTGAAATCAGGGTGCAATAGACAAGGAGGTATGCGACCTCGAGGTCGATTGACGTGCGCCAATCCCCTGTCTCGACATACAGACTGGTGACACATACCTTAGCCAGTGCTGCACGCAGTGTCAAATGACACAAATGTTAGTTACACCAGTATATCAGCTCCCGGTTTGAGACAGTCACAAGGGGATACTGGTTAGAGGACATGTAAGATATGTCCATGCCCATGGGTATGGTGCCAGTACACCAAGGTCATAACGAAGGGGATCTAACACGCACGATTAATGAATGCTGGCATTCTTGGGGATGAACCTCCCCAGTTTATTGCAGCATCCTAGATCTCAAGGCCACCAATATCCTCGGAATATGCTGACGGAAACAATGCATACCTGAACTCAGATGGTACTACAATCAATGGCGCCATGGAACACAGACAATCTTACCTTTACAATATGCGATGAACTCTTCATTCTTGTCAAAATGATCTTTGTGGACTTTAACATGACATCCTGCAACAAGAAAATACAGGTACATTTAAACTGATGTGGATTGATAATACCTTTTGGCAATCTTCATACACACTGGTCAGTAATCTGACCGAGATGTAGCACCATGTAGAAGCAGTACTTACTTTTGCACTCCAGCGCTGGGGGTGGATGTAGCATGTGCCACACCGGCTTGTTGCAGGAGTCACACGTTGTCGGCGTGCGGAAGTGCAGGGGGATGAAGTCATGACCCTTGTAACAGAGAACACCAGCTCTGTCCTGTAAAACAAACATACATTGAAACTCTACAGTCCAGCACTGGCAGTAGGGAAGGCAGGTTGGCCTAGCGTCCAGACGTGCGAGTTATGGACGGAGTACTGACCTGACTCTGATCTTCCTCTGGCTTCCGGATGGCACTTTCCCCCTCAGTCGCATACAGGATCTGCAACACAGTGACAGCATCACCACCAACTCAACACAGAAGCGCAGTATGCTGATGTCCAACCTCAGTCTAAACACCCATTAATCCTTATATTTAACATAAGGCTGATGCCATAGTTCAACTCCTGATCACACTTATAAGTTAAAAGTAGCATCTGTAAATCAAACATGATTGCAATTAAACAAACTTATTAAGGAGGTAGAATTGAACTCATAGAGGCACTATAAGGTGTTGGTCTTTAATGACGTAAAGCCGATGTATGTTTGTTATCCAACTGTCCATGCTTACTTTGAGGCAGTAGATTCTACAGTTTACAGCCAACTAGTCATCACCACTTTTTGCTCATATAACATTGTCCGATCTGTGTTGCCTTGACAAAAATGACACAATACAGAGAAAAAAATGACAACAATATCTAAAGTACAATGTATTAAGTTTCTCCTCCGTGTATTATGGTGTAGTTGTGCGCTGTCAATCTATCGTGGACTTACCTGGAATATTCTTGGAACATCTTTGGCATCAGCCCTATAAACATCACCTTGGGTCACTGGCCGCACATGGAATAATTTGCTGAAAAAAACAGAATGTTTCATCATACACTTGTCCACACACCCCCTGAAGGCCAGCTGCACTTCGCTCTATCACTGTGTCATCAGAAGTGTTACTGAGTCTAAGTTGGTCTGGACATATGGCTAAACATGCTGAAGAAAAAAGGTATTTCAATCATGTCCTTCCTGCTCCAAGTAAATTATATGAAACTAGCTTGTTCCTGATGGATCATGCTGGGACTGGCTTCAGGCAACCTTCTGAAATGGTTGGTGTTGATTGGTCAGATTACCATGGTAACCTATTATTATTACATTAACATAGACACAAATCATCACTTTTCCCACAAATCAAATCTCACTGAAAACATGACAACCCTTGATATTTGAAAACTAGAATTCATACTTACTCTATATCTAATATTACAGATGGTGCAGAATTCATTTTGTCTGCCTCACTGTTGTAGAAGAGGACCTTTCTGCTGCTGATGACAACATAGCTCTTCTTCCACCCATACTTCTTGATGTTGGAGCGACTCGGGACAGCCAGCCAACCCTCCATGTGGGAGTCTGAAACAGGCCAGGTGTTACTCCAATAGCCATTCATTTCTTGCACGTAACAATATTCCATCAGATGGGCAGCTATCATCTAATCCAGTTACAGATCCACTACTTTAGTGACCTACCTTGATTTTCTTCTGACACAGGTTCTTCCATGCTACCACTGTTGACAGATGCCGAGTCCATGTTTGCAACGGAGAGCTTCTGTCGGAGCAATTCTATCTCTGAATCCTTGGCGTCCATCTCCATGGTGAGCTTCTGGCGGAGCTGGCTCTCCTCGTACACACTCTGCTGGTAGTCGGAGATGTCCCGCTGCATCTTGGCCACCATCTGGTTGTACTTCTCCTTCTCCTGGACACAACAACAGTGGAAGGTAAGTGTTGGAAGTAACATCACGACATGTCATGCATTCCTTTTTCACTGCATGGGAATTTTGGATGCCGCACTATTACAGCATGTCATGCTCTGCAATGTTTGACAAAATGTTTAGATTGACACGAGGGTGTACTACGGTCACTCCACCAGTACCTACCACGGTCAACACGTGGGTGTACTACGGTCACTCCACCAGTACCTACCACGGTCAACACGTTGGTGTACTACGGTCACTCCACCAGTACCTACCACGGTCAACACGAGGGTGTACTACGGTCACTCCACCAGTACCTACCACGGTCAACACGAGGGTGTACTACGTCACTCCACCAGTACCTACCATGGTCAACACGAGGGTGTACTACGGTCACTCCACCAGTACCTACCACGGTCAACACGTGGGTGTACTACGGTCACTCCACCAGTACCTACCACGGTCAACACGTGGGTGTACTACGGTCACTCCACCAGTACCTACCACGGTCAACACGTGGGTGAACTACGGTCACTCCACCAGTACCTACCATGGTCAACACGTGGGTGTACTACGGTCACTCCACCAGTACCTACCACGGTCAACACGTGGGTGTACTACGGTCACTCCACCAGTACCTACCACGGTCAACACGTGGGTGTACTACGGTCACTCCACCAGTACCTACCACGGTCAACACGTGGGTGTACTACGGTCACTCCACCAGTACCTACCACGGTCAACACGTGGGTGAACTACGGTCACTCCACCAGTACCTACCACGGTCAACACGTGGGTGTACTACGGTCACTCCACCAGTACCTACCATGGTGAGCTCCTGCTGTAGTTTCCTCAGCTCCTTCTCCTTCTTCTTGAGGTCTGCAGCGCTGGCCTTGCTGGACTTGTGAGGCTGGTACTCCTTGCGGTTCATGATCTCCGCCAACTTGTTCACAGCCTGGATTTTCTTCATCCTTTCTTCATCCAGCTGTTTCTTCATCTTCTCCCATTCTGACTGCTTGGAATTTTGTGCCTCTGTTAAGAAATGTTTCAAAGATGAGACACAGATGAAGTATCTATTAACAAACACCCCATGATTGATTAGCATTTGACTGAAAATGTGTTTGAATTCTTCGGCAAAACTATACACATGAAAATAGCAAAACAATATCCATTATCATTAACTAATCTCAAGTCTGTAAACATTTGAGTCAGTGTCAGACAATCCAGTGATTGATATGATTAGCGGCATCAATCCACACCATTGGGATACAATGATATGCCAACCAACCATGTCACACAGTCTGACCACCTGATCCATCTATTTGCCTCTTACAAGATACACAGGTTCTTGGGGACCCATATTTTTAGCCAGAAACTCCACAGGTGAACAAGGTCCACAGGTGAACAAGGTCCACAGGTGAACAAGGTCAACAGGTGAACAAGGTCCACAGGTGAACAAGGTCCACAGGTGAACAAGGTCCACAGGTGAACAAGGTCAACAGGTGAACAAGGTCCACAGGTCACAAGTCCTGCTATAAATACTCTGACATCAGAAGGTAATTGTGAACCAACAACAGAATGGGGTAAAGCTCCACAAACCATCAGACAGTTTCTTGATCCTCATGTTCAGATCATCATTTTCCTGCTTCAGCTTCTCGATGTTGTTGACATAGTCCCTCTTAGACTCCTCGATCTGAAACAGCAGATATATATGACACAAGACCAGCAAACGCAGCATACAATCAACTCCACAGTATATGGAAGGTTATAATAGCTGGCAGTTTCAGTATTGTGACAAAATTTTAGAGCACAATAAGGTGTACCAAATTGTCCCAGCACTACACAGTGTGTGCATCTGGTTGCCCTAACACTAGAGGGTGTGTGCATCTGGTTGCCCTAACACAAGAGGGTGTGTGCATCTGGTTGCCCTAGCAATACAGTGTTTGTACCTGTTTGCCCTAGCACTAGAGAGTGTGTGCACCTGGTTGCCCTAGCTCTACACAGTGTGTGTACCTGGTTGCCAGAGAACTAGAGAGGGTGTGCACCTGGTTGCCCTAGCACTACAGTGTTTGTACCTGGTTGCCCTAGCACTAGAGAGTGTGCACCTGGTTGCCCTAGCACTAGAGTGTGCACCTGGTTGCCCTAGCACTTGTGAGTGTGTGCACCTGGTTGCCCTAGCTCTACACAGTGTGTGTACCTGGTTGCTAGAGAACTAGAGAGGGGGTGCACCTGGTTGCCCTAGCTCTACAGTGTGTGCACCTGGTTGCCCTAGCTCTACAGTGTGTGCACCTGGTTGCCCTAGCTCTACAGTGTGTGCACCTGGTTGCCCTAGCACTACAGAGAGTATGCACCTGGTTGCCCTAGCACTACAGTGTGTGCACCTGGTTGCCCTAGCTCTACAGTGTGTGCACCTGGTTGCCCTAGCACTACAGAGAGTATGCACCTGGTTGCCCTAGCACTACAGTGTATGCACCTGGTTGCCCTAGCACTACAGTGTGTGCACCTGGTTGCCCTAGCTCTACAGTGTGTGCACCTGGTTGCCCTAGCACTACAGAGAGTATGCACCTGGTTGCCCTAGCACTACAGTGTGTGCACCTGGTTGCCCGAGCACTACAGAGAGTATGCACCTGGTTGCCCGAGCACTACAGTGTGTGCACCTGGTTGCCCGAGCACTACAGAGAGTATGCACCTGGTTGCCCTAGCACTACAGTGTTTGTACCTGGTTGCCCTAGCACTAGAGAGTGTGCACCTGGTTGCCCTAGCACTAGAGTGTGTGCACCTGGTTGCCCTAGCACTTGTGAGTGTGTGCACCTGGTTGCCCTAGCTCTACAGTGTGCATCTGCTTGCCAGAGAACTAGAGAGGGTGTGCACCTGGTTGCCCTAGCTCTACAGTGTGTGCATCTGCTTGCCAGAGAACTAGAGAGGGTGTGCACCTGGTTGCCAGAGAACTAGAGAGGGGGTGCACCTGGTTGCCCTAACTCTACATTGTGTGTGCATCTGGTTGCCAGAGAACTAGAGAGGGTGTGCACCTGGTTGCCCTAGCTCTACAGTATGTGCACCTGGTTGCCCTAGCACTAAAGAGTATGCACCTGGTTGCCCTAGAGTGTGTGCACCTGGTTGCCCTAACACTAGAGTGTGTGCACCTAATTGCCCTAGCACTACAGTGAGTGTGCACCTGGTTGCCCTAGCACTAGAGGGTGTGCAGCTGGTTGCCCTAGAGTGTGTGCACCTGGTTGCCCTAGCACTAGAGAGTATGCACCTGGTTGCCCTAGAGTGTGTGCACCTGGTTGCCCTAGCACTAGAGTGTGTGCATCTGGTTGCCCTAGCACTAGAGTATGTGCAGCTGGTTGCCCTAGCACTACACAGTGTGTGTGCACCTGGTTGCCCTAGCACTAGAGAGGGTGCGCAGCTGGTTGCCCTAGCACTAGAGAGTGTGTGAACCTGCTGGTCCAAGCACTACATAGTGTGTGTACCTGGTTGAGATTGAACTCCTTCTTGTTGAGCTCGGACTTGTGTCTGGACATGAGTTCCTTGATCTCCAGCTCCAACATGGTCTTCTCCTTCTCCACGTCCGACAGCTGCTCCTCTGCGATGGTCCGTGCTAGCTGCTCGGAGTCTGCCTTTGTCATGGCCAGTTGTAACTGTGCTAGGCAGTGGTCCCTGTGCAGCACACATTCAGGATATGAGGAGGATAACTCATCCGCAACAGATACCCTACAGTTACTTTCATTTAATCACATTTCTTTAAATTTATGTCTGGACTAAACAGAATATTCTCATTATCATGTTCCAGCGGCATTCATACAACATTCAGCCATGTGTGAGTGCAGCAGCTGGTAGCTGCGACTTTGTCTGACTTACTTCTCTACAGTGAGTGTCTGGATGTCGTTGTTGAGATCCTGTATCTGTTGTTTCTTCTCACTCAGGTCTTCCTTCAGCTCCTTCACCTGCGTCTTGTACAGAGACTGAAACACAGGCATCACTCTCCTGCTTCAACCCATCACAAGTGTACAAACGTTACATAATATTACTTGAACAACTTTCTAAATGGGAGATAATTATCCAAGAAGATTTGTATAAACAACTTATATTTGATAAGGACAAATTCATTACCTCAAAATAGCATCAAGTACATACTTAATGACATTTCTACTTTAGAAATTCTGAACATTTAAAGAATTTGTAGAGAAACTTCAAACGAAATCTATATTTACAATACTTACAGAGAAGTAGCTTTCAGCTTCCAGCTGTTCACTGATTTCCTTCAACTGCAGGTCATTAACAGAGGCATCACTGGAAGTAAAGATTAAACAGGGTAAAGCCTTGTGTCTCCACTCATCTACTGCTTGCCCTCGTACACCCATGTTACATACTACTTGATACGTTCAGTACATCTGCCCTAACACACTTACTCCGACTTCTTCCTCATATCTTCTTCCATGTTCCTCTTGTCTTCCCGGTAGTCAGCAATTTCCTGGAAACATCAAGAAATGATTAAAGACCATTAAAAACAAAACCTGGCTTCAGAATGTCAGTCGATGTTACCAGATGTAAAATCTTGTTCTTCAACATTTTGGCATGGTAAATCCAAAAGATACAGAAGTAAGGAAACTGCATTGGACTGAAGTCTTGAACAGTGTTCTGTCTACAGCATGTCCACTACTGTCAAGACAATATCTGCTGTCAAGAAGATGTGTGCTGCACTATGTCTACTGTCTGCTCCTGTCCAGAGCATGTGTGATCAAGTCTACTACTGCCTGATGCTGTCCAGTAACTGAGTCCACTATCCAAACATGACACCATGTTTACCTTAAGCAGCTGTTTTTCTTTGGCCTTGGCTTTGGTGAGCTCTTGGTTCTGTGTCTTGAAATCTCCCTGCATGAGGTTCCTCCTCTGTACCTCCTGTTCCACCTGTAAGCCTAAGTTCCGACACTGGAAAGACAATGAAGGAGTGTCCATCAACAGGCCACAGGACAATGAAGGAGTGTCCATCAACAGGCCACAGGACAATGAAGGAGTGTCCATCAACAGGCCACAGGACAATGAAGGAGTGTCCATCAACAGGCCACAGGACAATGAAGGAGTGTCCATCAACACAGGACAATAACAGAATGTGTCACTGTGTAATTTACCACTGATTTTGTGCATAAATATTGAACATGATAGCTGTGAAATCTACATTTCCTAAACAGTAGTCTTCATCCTCCCATAGATAAAATACAATCCTGATCTCATGAATAAAGTCAGAAATATCTTAATAGAAATGCCAACAACATACACCATTTCCCTACTGCGATCAGGCAGATGCCAGTAGCCTGTTCTTACTAAACGGAAACCCAAAAGCACTCCACCACAAGGTATACTCATGTTGTCACACGACTACAAACATGGGATGCCCACCTTCTCTGTTTCTGCACGGAGTTCAGCCTGTAATGATGTAATCCTCTGCTGTAGCTGTGTCAGATCAACCGTCAGCTCACTGTTCCTCTTCTCACTCTCCAGACAGCGCTGCTCCATGTTCTGACGCACCACCCGCTCATGGTCCAGCTTGCTCTGCATATCTGCAACACACAGCCCTCAGTTATCTTCCCACTCAGCACAGCTTAACAGTTTACAGTCTACTCTGGCATCCTCTTTCAAATGCAATAACATTTGCATGGATATTTAAACAACAGATTAGTGTCTCTTGTGACTTGAAACAAACATATGTGTAAGGTTTAGTAATTCTCATCCTCGATAATCTCCAGGGTATACTTTCCGATAAATCTCCACTATACCCTGGATGCATCTACTGCTCGGCCCTATGATTTTATTACCTCCCTTGGCTGGCTTTTTATCCAATCAGGTGTTTACACTGGGAAGTTGAGCGTACCAATCACAACTCACTTTTGCTTCTTTTAACTAACCGATTAAACTCTGGAACATAATTGTTACAGAGGTACTCTGAAAGAGTTCTTGCATATCTTTTCTAAGGTTTCAGACCTGTCAATTTGTCTGTATGTTTTCCCCAAAAATCTGAGTTGCACTGCGAAAAAACTTTCACAGCTGCGACTGCTATCTTTGTTGACATAAACGGCGGCTTAGCTGATTGGCTACTGTGCAAATGCGGAGCCAGCAAAGGGAGGTAATAAAATTATCAGGCCGCGCCACAGATGCATCTTGGTTACTAGTGGAGATTTATCGGAACGTATACCCTGGAGATTATCGAGGATGAGTAATTCTGTAAAGTTTGCTTATATGCCATTAGGTGTCTTTCTATTAACTTTCTTGTCTATATAATTCCATCATGTAAGAAGTAAATGTAACAAGAGCTTTGTTGATTCAGAGACCGGTTCTGCTGTGGCAGTGCGAGACCCACCTTTCATAGCCTCCATGTTGGCTTCTTCTGTAGACATAAGGATATTCTTTTTGTCAGCATTGTAGCGAGCCACGGTCTCCTTGTGAGACTGGATCTCTGCTTCCAGCTTGCGGTAGAAGTTGTCTCTCTCAAGTTCCACATTGGCCACTCTCTGGCAAAAGATTCACCGGTTTCATGACATCTTTACTTTACTCAGTACAAAGCAAGGTTTGAATGATGCTGTTGAAAACCAGTGATATTAGTGTTGGAACCTACCTTTTCTAATTGCACAACAATGCTCTGTTTTTTCTGCAGCTCCTGACCATTCGCACGCTCCTTTTCCATCAGCCTGTCCTTCTCATTCTGCAGCCCGCGGATCCGATCTACAACAACAAAGGAAATTGCTATTTCCCAATACACCTTAACCATCATAGGAATGACAAGTTTTCATGAAAATGGTATAAGCATCTATACCGAAAGGTCGCTATTGTACAATAAAGAAGTTGATCATCCATAAAGACTCTCTCTCTCTCTAGTTGAGTTTTACGCCGCACTCAGCAATATTCCAGCTATATGGCGACAGTCAGTAAATAATCAAGTCTGGACCAGACAATCCAGTGATCAACAGCATGAGCATCGATCTGTGCAATTGGGAACCGATGATATGTGTCACCCAAGTCAGCGAGCCTGACCACCCGATGCCGTTATTCGCCTCTTACGACAAGCATGGGTTACTGAAGATCAATATTCTGACCCTGACCTTCACGGGTCTCCATAAAGACTTCGTCATTCCTATTTCTCACAACTACTAGAATGCCTCTCAAACACTTTTAACTATCATGACATACTCGTGTTTCAACCAATGTGTAGTCCTCCAAAGCATGCCAACAATGTATCACTGGATTTACTGAATGTATGATTCTTCATTACAGCAGCCCCCTTTAATGTTCTTTTGTACACCTACTTCCTTTGTCATCACTTCTCAATCGAGCTTTTCTTTTACCTTCTTGCTTCGTACCACAAATTAAGCCTGGCCTCTAATCCCCAACTGTAAGACAGAAGTCCAAGCTGCTCACAAGCCCTGTACATACAATCAACCCTGCCTTTTATTTCCTGTGCTTACCATTAAGTTCCATGGTGTGCTCTGACTCGTGGTTGCGGTTGTTGCGTTCCTGGTCTAATGCTGCCTGGAGAGCCACCAGTTCTCGCTCCATGTGCTGCCTGGCGTTGACCACCTCCATGTACTTGTTGTTGAGGTCTGCATAGCTCTGCTCTGTCCCGGTGTAACGCTGGCGGACAACATCACACCAACATCTTACTACTTCATGCAACTACGAAAGTCTCTGGGACCATCAACAATCAGCATAATTCAGGACTTGTGGATTGAATGAGTTAATGCATCTAATTTTTCCAGCTTTGACAAACCATAAATGTTCACATTTTGACCAGGCCAAGTTATGACAGTGGCATAAGGACATGCAAGCAGACACGTCACTTGGTTTGGCTGCCTAATCCATTCTAAACAAAGTTACTTGGGGCCATATCTAACTCTGGATCACAATAAGGGCTGGTAACTGCAAGACTGAATAGTTGCATCATCATGGTACTTTGGTTTCTTGCAGATGAGCTAAAACGAAAGCTGTTGGAAATCAAAGCATTCTTGGGACCAATTACTTCATCCTCACACACAGACTCTAAATCTAACCCTTGACACATCACTTCCAACACTTAAAAGTAGTGCCACTTTGTACTGATTCAACCTACCTGCTGTAACTCGGTGTACATTCTCTTGAATTTGTTGGTGTTTTCTGTTTCTGCTCGAAACTTATCAGTTAGGTCTCCAACCTGCAACATAGTAACTACACTCATACAACTCCATATGTCACAGGCTCACTTTGGAAGTTAAAACAAAATTACAACAAACAGAGAGAATAAAAACTGCATAAATTTTCAATAAAAGATTTTAATTCGGGGCCAAGAATGTTGTTTGCCATGTACTACCCTGACAGTAGCATCTGATGACCATTTCTTCTTGAGCTACCAAACATCAAGCCTGGCCACCTGGTGTACGTCACAAACATCATAAATTACCAATTTGTGAACTTCTGAACAATGTATGTCAAAATGTTTTATCTTGAATGCTTATGACCACCAACCACCACCCCAGCCCCAATATGGGATGTTGCAAGGTTGTACTGACTGTTCTCTCCAGACTGGCAACCTTCTCGTTGTTCTGCATGCTGCTGGACGCCATCTGGGCGCGGTAAGTCTGCTCATGTTCCAGTTTCTTGGATTGTTCTCTCAACAGATTCTCAGCTTTTGACTTGGCCTCGGTCTCCAAATCAAGTTTCCTTTGAAGCTGAAGACAGACAATCTCTTGTTACACGTACATGATCTCTTGTCACATGCCAACAGCTCAATCTCGGAAACATGCGCATCAACACATCTTTTGTAACATTAACACACTTTCTTGCACGGACACAAACTCTCTTCTGAAACAATCAACAATACTCCAGTTACATCCCGACAGAAAGACGCCATATAAGAGACAGTCAAGCACTGCAGTAGCTAATAATAATAGAACACACCTTGCTATCAGGGTAGCACAACACTATCAGCCATGCCACACATGGTCGCCATCGGATCCCCACTTGGGGAAACAAGCACAATGTGTGTTGACTATTCCTGTGGGTAAAAACCATTGTAACATGCACACAACACAACCTCTTGCTCTGGCTTACATTGCCTTCTCATTGCGTATGGAGTAGTATAGCACAGTGTCAAGCCTACCTCCTTCAGTATAGCACAGTGTCAAGCCTACCTCCTTCAGTATAGCAGCAGTGTCAAGCCTACCTCCTTCAGTATAGCACAGTGTCAAGCCTACCTCCTTCAGTATAGCACAGTGTCAAGCCTACCCCCTTCAGTATAGCACAGTGTCAAGCCTGCCTCCTTCAGTATAGCACAGTGTCAAGCCTACCCCTTCAGTATAGCACAGTGTCAAGCCTACCTCCTTCAGTATAGCACAGTGTCAAGCCTACCTCCTTCAGTATAGCACAGTGTCAAGCCTACCCCCTTCAGTATAGCACAGTGTCAAGCCTGCCTCCTTCAGTATAGCACAGTGTCAAGCCTACCTCCTTCATGTCGTGTTTGATCATCGCCATGGTCCTCTCCATCTGAGTCAGCTCCTTCTTGGCCATCGACTCCTCCTGGGACGCTCGGTTCAGATCCTCCACAGCATTCCTGCAAAGCGGCACACTCATCAAAGACGCAGCTACAGAAGGTACATGTACACGAACCATAAGGTGACAAAACATCGTCTGCAAGAATTCTGACTTAAAGAAAGTCTCAGTTTGGAATGAAAAACTTACTGACTCAACAATGTTGGGTGGAAAGGTTGATAATGATTATTGACACAAATAGTCTCCAAATATTTCTTTTACCATGGACTTTTCCAGTTTACCTATATTTTTTCTCAATGTCATCCTTGGATGCCACGAGCTGTTTAACTTGGTTCTCCAGGTGCCGAGAACCATCGTCTCCACCACCACTGCTGGTCCCGGGAACACTAACCGCCAGACTGAGGATGACATACATAATATTTCATAAATATATTGATGCGTCTGCTCCACTCAATCAAGGTAAACACCACTTCAGTTCACAGGAAGTCTTCAATAATTCCATAATGTTTATTCAGACACATAATGATTTCAACAAAACCAATTTATTATTTCTGACCAACTGAATGTCAATGAGTAATGTATCTCAAACTTGGGATGTGAGGTACGCCTGTAATACCAACTACCAATCTCGCACCACCAATCACCATGGCAACAACACTGTCATGCAGGCATCAGATCATCTGTCTCTTTGATCCCTCCACAGAATGATACCATGCACAACTACTAAGCTATCCTTGAATCACAAGAACAGATATATACAGAGACAAATGCATGCACAGATGGAAATAAACATCTAACTTCCTTGCAATAGCTACAGATCCAGAAAACGTTTACACCCAATATATTACAGCACAAATTAGCAGCTTGATTGAAGAATAACACATTTGATTTTAATATAATAAATCAATAAGCTTAACCATAACTGTTTCCCTAAGAAAGACATATAGTCGCTGAAGCTCTCTGAGTTACCATTGTTCCCACTGATGATGAAGTGTTATGATGAAGACAATGACTGCATTGTGCATGACTGCATGTGAGCTGTTAATGAAGGCCATGAAACTATACAAGTCAGCTACCTTATGGACCACACTAAAATTTCAGATAAACATCACTAGACACACTGTTTAAAACTCCCAAAATTCCAAGCCAGGCAGCAGGATTGGTAACTTAAAAAATTACCAATCTGCATACAAACTTGCCTGTCCGATTTTGGTAAGACTTCCGTCTGTACCCCCCTTAAATTCCATTCTAGTCAAATCATATCACCTGAATATATATTCCTCATCTGATAAGGATGAGGTTTAACAGGTTTCTTTAATTGTATCTGAACATACTGAATGACATGTCCGAATTCTATAAATGTCACTGAATGAAATATTTCCTCATCGTTATAATTTATAGGGGGGATACGGGCGGAAGTCTTACCCAGTGAACTACATAGCACTAACAGGCAATGCACCGAGTTTAGGTAAACTGAAAGTACATGTGTTGTGATTGGTAATTGCAACATGAACTGTCCAAAAGTAAGTAGTTTAACATAATTATCATAATACCTTTAACACCTCAAACTGATGACAAGAAAACCTGTCTGATATTATGAAATATTTACTCTTTGGGGTAATAATATCTACCACACCACCGAACAGGCTACTTTAGAAACTTGACCGTCCGAGATGAAAATAGACTGTTCCGGACGGTCGGGCAGACGGGAATTTTAAACACTGCTAGACACGATGATTTACTATTTCAATTGTATCTTTTGTTTTGCTGGCCATTGTTTCACATGAAGAGATTAGGATTTCTGTGTGTATTTTCTCGTAAACTAACCCTGCAATAATAATAAGCTGTACACTTTTTCTCCAAATATAAGCTATAACATACCTTGTCAACCACTACTTGTATACTACACTGAAAATACTCGTACTTCACGAAACAAACCATCAAAATTCAATAGGGTATATGCTATGCACACCTCCCTCTCCACAGATATGTTTTAATGAAGACAAAGTATGCAGTATATTCAAGAAAATGTTAAATAATGAGAAAGAAATACTGCCTCCTGTATCATGTGCTCAAGTTTCACGTAATACAGGAGTTAAACCTATATAGACAATATGCAGCCTGTATAGATAGATTGATATATGTTACAGAACTGACATTCAAATTCAAGTCCTGAGAATTATGTCGACTTGCAGAAAATAACAATATACATCACAGAACTGACATTCAAATTCAATTCCTTAGAACTATGAGGATTTGCAGAAAGTGATTACAGATTACAGTTTGTTGGAATTTCAAAGGAGCCAGCATCAACAAAGTTAACCTTCCCCATTTATAAATGCATGCAAACCAAACTAACATGAAAAAGATGTAAAATGTTTTATGTTTGAGTTGGAGCTTGTGCCAATTTGAATGCCATGTGAGAAGGGAGGACAGAATACTGGTGGTGTGGGGTTATGAACGGTATACACCAGGCACTGTACAACTGATAACTCACATCAACACAATCCTGGGGCAAGGAAAGAAATAATTCAAGATGAATAATCAAGAAAGTTGAAATGCGACATTTCAATTTAAAAAATAATATTGCAAACAAAGTCAGATGTTTTATTGGTAGCAACTGTCATCTTCCACTTCTCAGTAACATGCTAGTCCCAAAACATTCATAGTAAATTTCACCTTTCCGTTTTTTAATCGTAGAATACCTGTTCTTTTAATGTATGGCTAGATTTGCTAAATTGCTAAGGGGTGGTGTAAATCCAGCTAGGGTCCATGGAGGAAGAAAATGTACTGTAAGTCCCCATGGTCCCTAGTATGGTGATCTACCTTCAGTCGTTGGCGATCAATAGCCTGTTTTTTATATTGTATCGTCTTGTATAGTTCAAATGTTTTAGATTTTGTTACTAGTTTTATATCTATATCTGTGATAATCTAGTTATTTTACTGTCCTTCGTTGGCAGAATTTTATAATTTCACTTAAATTGTTGATATATTTAGAACTTGCTTTAGTCACGATATGGCTGAAATATTGCCGATGTGACTTAAAATCCTAACTCACTCACTCACTCAGTAACATGCTACAGTGACCCCAGTGCTATGATGATGGTAAGTCTGTGTTAAAGTATGGGAGTTAGGATCACCTTAGCATTTAGATCTTGACAACAATGGTATGATTTTATCTGATCATAATGATTTCCAATTCCGGAATGCTTTCAAGACTTAAATTGTTACACCTATACCAATTCCAGTACTGAATACTTACTTGTGGAGATGATCCTGAGCACAACAATCTGAAACATGACAACAGATGACATAAAATGTCATGACAAGCAGACACAGACCTCTTATAGGGAATAAATACCATAACCGACTTCAAGTTGAAATGCTTTTGAAAAAAAGTGAATGGGTTGGGTTTAACACCAGCGTGAACACTGTTTCCGTTATATCATAGCATGTCAGCTACAGTGTCATCATTTTAGCAAAAACCTAAGAGCACTGGTTTGGAGATGATAAAAGTAGAAACACTGGGTCAAACACACAATAATTGGTTCGTGGCATACCCAAGGGACACAACTCTGTATTGCTGCATCTTAGACAACCTGGCCACTGATAACACCTGAAAATAGTCAACAAGCCTGAACACCTGTGTGACGACTTACTGGTACTCCTTATTATATGTAAATCCTATAAAGGGTAGATGGTTGCCAGCAAATGCTTTCAGTGGCTGGAAGTTTTCTTGTGGTGTGTCCTCTTTCTCGATGTCGTCAAAGTTGCTGGTGTCTATATCACTTGAAAGTTCTGGGACAACGGCGAGCACCTGGCAAACAGACAGAGACAGTCACATATAAACAGTTTTGCCACAAGGTAGATCAAGCCACACATGACAGTTGAACATCAGGTTACACGCGTCAGAGGTATGTCAGGTCATGTGTGACAGTTGAACATCAGGTTACACATGTCAGAGGTATGTCAGGTCACGTGTGACAGTTGAACATCAGGTTACACATGTCAGAGGTATGTCAGGTCACGTGTGACAGTTGAACATCAGGTTACACATGTCAGAGGTATGTCAGGTCACGTGTGACAGTTGAACATCAGGTTACACATGTCAGAGGTATGTCAGGTCACGTTGAACATCAGGTTACATATGACAGTTGAACATCAGGTTACACATGTCAGAGGTATGTCAGGTCACGTGTGACAGTTGAACATCAGGTTACACATGTCAGAGGTATGTCAGGTCATGTGTGACAGTTGAACATCAGGTTACACACATCAGAGGTATGTCAGGTCACGTGTGACAGTTGAACATCAGGTTACACATGTCAGAGGTATGTCAGGTCATGTGTGACAGTTGAACATCAGGTTACACATGTCAGAGGTATGTCAGGTCACGTGTGACAGTTGAACATCAGGTTACACATGTCAAAGGTATGTCAGGTCACATGTGACAGTTGAACATCAGGTTACACATGTCAGAGATGAAATGAGGTGAAATTGGGTCTAATGTATGTCAGGTCAGGTGAACATCAGGTTACACACATCAGAGGTATGTCAGGTCCGCGTGAGAATATTTCCCTCATATGATGATGTGCATGTGTGTGTATGTGCGCCTGCTTGTACTAGCTCAGACTGAAGCTGGTTTTATAGTGCTAGCCCACTGAGATACCATGCCGCAGTGAAGCATGAATACCGCACTCAGAAACAGTATACTGACTCCGAGCTGACCAGTCCAGGGGTGGAAATAACTTTAGAATTGCTAGTGTACTCCGGTACAGTGGCACATGTAAAATCACTTGCCCTGGTTATTTTCCCCTATACCGACCGATTTTCTTGGTGATTTTCTAAACAAACATTGGAATGTCAACTGGACACCGGTACAGCGTGATATACAAATGTCCTTGCCCGACAGAAAATACACTGGACTCGGACGTCGGGCAATGGGTTATTTCCACCCCTGCAGTCCTTGATGTACCCATTAATGCCGAGCGCCAGGCAGGGACCAACAAGTACCATATTTTAATCGTCTTATGGTATGATGCGGTCAGGGATCGAACCCGTGACAGTTGAACATCAGGTTATACACGGCAGAGGTATGTTAGGTCACATATGACAGTTGAACATCAGGTTACACATGTCAGAGGTATGTTAGGTCACATGTGACAGTTGAACATCAGGGTACAGGTCACATGTGACAGTTGACATGCGTCAGAGGTATGTCAGGTCACATGTGACAGTTGAACATCAGGTTACATGCGTCAGAGGTATGTCAGGTCACATGTGACAGTTGAACATCAGATTACACACGTCAGAGGTATGTTAGGTCACATGTGACAGTTGAACATCAGGGTACATGTGTCAGAGGTATGTTAGGTCACATGTGACAGTTGAACATCAGGGTACATGCATCAGAGGTATGTCAGGTCACATGTGACAGTTGAACATCAGGGTACATGCATCAGAGGTATGTCAGGTCACATGTGACAGTTGAACACCAGGGTACATGCGTCAGAGGTATGTCAGGTCACATGTGACAGTTGAACACCAGGGTACATGCGTCAGAGGTATGTCAGGTCACATGTGACAGTTGAACACCAGGGTACATCACATGTGACAGTTGAACACCAGGTTACATGCGTCAGAGGTATGTCAGGTCACATATGACAGTTGAACACAAGGGTACATGCGTCAGAGGTATGTCAGGTCACATGTGACAGTTGAACACCAGGGCCCACTTGCACAAAGCGATCTATGTTGGAGAATGGGAGTTACAATCATCGTAGCGCTAAGATCGCTTTGTACAAGTGAGCCCTGGTTACACACGTCAGAGGTATGTCAGGTCACATGTGACAGTAGCATCTAAGGTCACGTAACAGTAGAACATCAGGTGACATGTGACAGCAGTATGTCAGGTGACTTGTGACAGCTGAAGATCAAGTTACATGCAGCCGTCGTACGTTAGGTGACATATAACAAGTTACATGTGACATGTGACCTTTCACCCCTGCAGTATTGTTATTGTCACTTGGCAAACTACTTCAACAACAGCGTCAGTCAGAAACAGCAGAACACTGGACATCAATATTACTCACTTTGCCTTATACTGTCCCATGTCCAGTTCTCGTCTCTGAAGAAGGGATGTCTTTTGATTTCATCTACACCATTTCGTCCTAACCTTCCTGTTCTGTAAGCACACAAGACATGGTTGGTGATCCACTGTAAGTTTTGAGGTGCTACATTATTATTTGTTTGGCAAAGTCAGATCACAGTAATCAATGAGATTGGTCTGGCAGAAACTCCCCTGGTTAAGATCGGAATAAAGTAGTGCAATCAACATACAATATCAGCGTTTGCTTGTTTCAGCCAAGAGAATGGTTGAGGCTGTTATCCCCTGACTCACCAAGAGAATGGTTGAGGCTGTTATCCCCTGACTCACCAAGAGAATGGTTGAGGCTGTTATCACCTGACTCACCAAGAGAATGGTTGAGGCTGTTATCCCCTGACTCACCAAGAGAATGGTTGAGGCTGTTATCACCTGACTCACCAAGAGAATGGTTGAGGCTGTTATCACCTGACTCACCAAGAGAATGGTTGCGGCTGTTATCCCCTGACTCACCTATCAGTAAGGAAGGCACATATAATACTTTTAGCTTGGTCCGACATGTCCACATCAGGGGGAAACTGCAGAGATCGGGCGTGGTCCATGATCTTGCCATAAGTGCCCACAAGGGAATCAGCGTAGAAAGGTGTGTCACCTGTTGGAAATAAATAACTTCAGAAAAACTTATATCAGTGGTACATAAGAAGCTTCTTTAAACCATCAGTCATCTGTTTACTGTCACAGCTAAATAACATGGAGGAGTGAGGTAGTTTGCACTAAGGCTGCTATGAACAGTATCACAGTAATATAACAGTATCACGCACAGAGGTGCTTGAATGCCCATAATGGACTGCAGGTACATGACAGAGAAGTAGAAAGTAAAATAACATCTGGCCCAGTCCACAAAATGTTTGATGATTATGTATGCAATGACAAAATAATTTTTCAGAATCTGAGGATACTAACCAACGAGCATCTCATAGAGGAAGACCCCGACTGACCACCAGTCACACTCGCGGCCGTAGAGTCCCTCTCCGCCCTGGGACTTGAGCACCTCGGGGGAGATGTAGTCTGGCGTCCCTACAGCAGTGTCCGACCGAACCAGCCCGTCCTGCAACAAGCAGCCTCAGTAACAACCACTGGCAGCCTGGTGCAGGGCAACACAGCAGACACTACAACGCTTTTACATCTTACGATTGTGGTTCAATGCCTGTCAGTTAAATAATACAAACAATGTCTAATACTAATTGTAACACAGACCATATCACTGATGGAACGACATTTGGTTGAAGCACATAAAGAACTTTCTGCATAGTTCCTTCTGAATCTCCATCACAGACAGAAAAACTATTACAATCCATTACACACTACTTCTAACATAACAACACTGCAGCCACACCCTCCTTGTCTGGTACCGAGTACAAGGGACACATGGACAGGTAAGTACGTTAGAATGACAGGGCTTTACGGGACTTGGTAGGGCAAGACATTGTAACTCACAGCATCCATCCTCATACAGGTGCCAAAGTCAGCCAGCTTGAGATGACCAGCAGCATCCAGCAACATGTTGTCTGGCTTCACGTCCCTGAACACACAAACACAGTGAACAACAGTCCTCAATCCTGTAATGATAATTTGCTGTGTGCTGATCTCATGCAGAACACTGTTCTATCAGCCTGGTGATGTTTTTAAGACCAGTAGGTCTATATGGATCTGGTGAGGACATATGTCCAAGGCATCATGGACTTGGGAGAGTCATAGAGGATATGGTAGTGAGGTCCTACAGACGTAGTGAGGCCCGACAGATATGGCAGTGAAGCCCTACAGATACGGTAGTGAGGCCCTACAGACGTGGTAGTGAGGCCCTACAGATACAGTAGCGAGGCCCTACAGACGTGGTAGTGAGGCCCTACAGACGTGGTAGTGAGGCCCGACAGATGTGGCAGGAAGCCCTACAGATGTGGTAGTGAGGCCCTACAGACGTGGTAGTGAGGCCCTACAGATGTGGTAGTGAAGCCCTACAGATAAGGTAGCGAGGCCCTACAGACGTGGTAGTGAGGCCCTAAAAACGTGGTAGTGAGGCCCTACAGACGTGGTAGTGAGGCCCTATAGACGTGGTAGTGAGGCCCTACAGACGTGGTAGTGAGGCCCTACAGACGTGGTAGTGAGGCCCGACAGATGTGGTAGGAAGCCCTACAGATGTGGTACTGAGGCCCTACAGATACGGTAGCGAGGCCCTACAGACGTGGTAGCGAGGCCCTACAGACGTGGTAGTGAGGCCCTACAGACGTGGTAGTGAGGCCCTACAGATAAGGTAGTGAGGCCCTACAGATAGGGTAGTGAGGCCCTACAGATAAGGTAGTGAGGCCCTACAGACAGGTAGTGAGGCCCTACAGATAGGGTAGTGAGGCCCTACAGACAGGGTAGTGAGGCCCTACAGACAGGGTAGTGAGGCCCTACAGATATGGTAGTGAGGCCCTACAGACATGGTAGTGAGGCCCTACAGATAAGGTAGTGAGGCCCTACAGACAGGGTAGTGAGGACCTACAGACAGGCTAGTGAGGCCCTACAGATACGTTAGAGAGGCCCTAGAGATATGGTAGTAGTAAGGCCATACAGACAGGGTAGTGAGGCCCTGCAGATAGGATATTGAGGCCCTACAGACATGGTAGTGAGGCCCTACAGATATGGCAGTGAAGCCCTACAGACATGGTAGTGAGGCCCTATAGATACAGTAGTGAGGCGCTACAGACGTGGTAGTGAGGTCCTACAGATATGGTAGTGAGGCCCTACAGATATGGTAGTGAGGCCTATACAGGTAGTGAGGGTATGGTAGTGAGGCCCAAGACATGGTAGTGAGGCCCTTTAGATAGTGTGAGGCCCTACAGATAAGGTGAGGCCCTACAGATATGGAAGTGAGGCCCTATGAACATGGTAGTGAGGCCCTACAGATAAGGTAGTGAGGCCCTACAGACAGGGTAGTGAGGCCCTATTGATATGGTAGTGAGGCCCTACAGATATGGTAGTGAGGCCCTACAGACATGGTAGTGAGGCCCTACAGACAAGGTAGTGAGGCCCTACAGACAGGGTAGTGAGGCCCTACAGACAGGCTAGTGAGGCCGTTACATATACGTTAGAGAGGCCCTAGAGATATGGTAGTAGTAAGACCGTACAGACAGGGTAGTGAGGCCCTACAGATAGGATAGTGAGGCCCTACAGACAGGGTAGTGAGGCCCTACAGATAAGGTAGTGAGGCCCTTCAGATATGGTAGTGAAGCCCTACAGATATGTTAGAGAGGCCCTACAGACAGAGTAGTGAGGCCCTACAGATAAGGTAGTGAGGCCCTACAGACAGGGTAGTGAGGCCCTACAGACAGGGTAGTTAGGCCCTACAGATAAGGTAGTGAAGCCCTTCAGACAGGGTAGTGAGGCCCTACAGACAGGGTAGTGAGGCCCTATGGACAGGGTAGTGAGGCCCTACAGATAAGGTAGTGAGGCCCTACAGATAAGGTAGTGAGGCCCTACAGATATGGTAGTGAAGCCCTACAGATATGGTAGTGATGCCCTACAGATACGGTAGTGATGCCCTACAGATACGGTAGTGAGGCCCTACAGATACGGTAGTGAGGCCCTATAGATACGGTAGTGAGGCCCTACAGACATGGTAGTGAGGCCCCTATAGAGGAGCCCTACAGATGGTAGTGAGGCCCTACAGACATGGTAGTGAGGCCCTATAGATATGGTAGTGAGGCCCTACAGACGTGGTAGTGAGGCCCTATAGATATGGTAGTGAGGCCCTACAGACATGGTAGTGAGGCCCTACAGATATGGTAGTGAGGCCCTATGGACATGGTAGTGAGGCCCTACAGATATGGTAGTGAGGCCCTATGGACATGGTAGTGAGGCCCTACAGACATGGTAGTGAGGCCCTATGGACATGGTGGGACCTCATGCATGGTAACAAAACACATTGGGGAGAAAACAGGAAAACATCAGAAAAACATCTCCCTTGTTAACTGATGCAAATCTGGAATTCAAATGAATTTCAAGTTCAAGCATGATCACAAACGATAACATAATATCTATATATGCAGCAGGAAGAAAACTTTGTAATGCACTAGAAGAAGTCAATGACTCCTCATTGTAAGATCTGTCAGTCTAATACTTGTTGATCAAGCCATCATATAGACAGCTGTAAAAGAGCATGCTGTTAGCATGACAGCAGTTACAATGTCGGCATGTGACACTATCTCATGTAATAGGCAGTTTCCTTGATCTCAACGATGACACAACATGAAGTCAAGCCAGGCCTACGTTTGTAAAGCATCATCAAAGTAAAGTCCAGCTCTACTTCAGCAACCAGTCTCCACTCCACAACTCACCTTCTACAACTGGGCCTAGATTTTCAAAGCTCTCTTAGCACTAAGATAGTTGTAAGTGCCATACATTAACATTAACTTACAACTATCTTAGCGCTAAGAGAGCTAGTTATAACATCAAAAAACATGATACAATTGCAAAATGTAAATGATACATAAACATATTTAAACTGATACTTTCAAAACTAAGTATCGATACAGTTTTGAATGTTTTGATAATTGTATCGTCTTAGAAAAAGTATCAATGGTTCGATATATCGAGGCATCCCTAGTCAAGAGGTGTCAGTGTTATGTCCTGTTTGTCAAATGCTTCATTTTCTGTGTAAATGTATGAATGAGTAAATGGGCGAGTGAGTGAGTGACCAAATGACTTACTGAGATTCTGAGTGTAGGAGTGCAAGAGTGAGAGGAGAGAGAGAGAGAGAGAGAGAGAGAGAGAGAGAGAGAGAGAGACACCACCTTTAGCAATTTTCCAGCAACATCAAGGTGGGGGACACCAGAAATGGGCTTCACACATTGTACCCATGTTGGGAATCGAACCTGGGCCTTCAGCGTGACGAAAGAACGCTTTAACCACTAGGCTACCCCACCGCCATGAGTGAATGAATGAATGCAAGAGTCAGTGAGTTTCTATGAGTGAAGATAAATATTTGAAACATACTGTAAGCAACAGAACAATGTTTCACATCGCAGTGAGCAAAATTCCAGCCATATCATGGTTGGACCAGACAATCTAGTGACTGACATTACGAGCAATACCCCATAATGTCACAGTATGATGTAATTAACCCTTTACCCTTGGTAAATGTCAGCTCTTACCACAAGCATTTTATAAGCGAGATTTCATTTAACAAAACAAATAGATTCTAAACAGTGTATATCCTGAAAAGAGAAGTTGAACTTGGCTAAAGAACTTGGGCACTACCTGTGTACGAATCCCATGGAGTGGATAGCATCTAGGGACAGGACAACTTCAGCACAGTAGAACTTGGCCCACTTCTCAGGTACATCATAGTTACTCATGAGGTTGACCAGGTCGCCTCCGGGCATGTAGTCCATCACCATATACAGGAATCGGCCATCTTGGAATGCATAGTGAAGCTGCAAAACAGCATCGGAGACATGGTACACCCTGGCATTACATCAGAGGCAGGGTTTTACACAGACTTTTAAAAATGGGAGTCATGGTGACTCACAGTATTTATTTTTGGGAGTCATTTTCAATATTTGGGAGTCATGAAAATATTAATATTTCTTTGTGTTAATCATTCTCAGTATGTAACTGTGTATGTCACACCACCAAATGAAACTACAGCATTGTTCAATTCAAACAGCCAGGATTACTGTCTCCTCTGAGTTCTCTGGAATAATCTGACAGCTCTGTAAAAGTCAAACTATCATCGAACAATATCATTTTTGCTTATCAAATCGATTTTATTGAACTGAACTTGCGACAAGCTTGACTCATATGATAATATTTTGAGGGTCGTTTACAAAATTGTTGCGTCAAATACGCAGGAATCACGTGTCATGTAAAACCCTGCAGAGGGCTGATGACCAAATGTTTCCTTACAGATACATTTCACAATACACAGATCTAAGAGAAGGCAACCTGAAGGGAACAGACCTCCCTTGCGACTCATTAAATGTTAGGTTTTTTGTAATTTTTTGTTGAAGTTTCCTACAAAATATAAGATCAAATTTCAGATGATTGATTTTTTCAGAATATCTTCTATACTGTTATTTCATTGACATTTGTAGAATTTTCAGATTGTAATGAAGGTATGACGAGTGATGATAGATCAAAGGCTTTAATTTCAATGCAACTGAAGCAAGGTGTTATGGACTATGACATTGGGAGATGTGTTGAATGAGCCACATGAGTGATGTAACAATACCCTAGTCTCAGAGATTCCTGCCCAGGAATGTGATTTTGTTAAAATCATTTTTAGAATCAGTAAATATACACTAATGTATGTGGTCATATTTTCTGTTTACAATTTTCTACTTCGTAAAATCCCTGAGCGCAAGAAATATGCTAGCTTTATCTTTTAAGAATTTCTGCCCTTTTATTGTCATCATAGGTATTTAGCATGAACGTAAAGATACATTTGTCTGTTGAACTATGACAAAGATGAACCAGCCTGTTGGACATTGTTTTTCTAAATCTTGTCACGGTAATTCTTCCCGAGTTGTGGTGCTACTCATGATAGACATACATTCTTGTCAGAAAGACACAGTTAGACAGGGATTATATTTTATATGATTGCCTGTTTCCTGATTTCATTGTTCACACTGTGTCCATGTTATTGTAATGTTTTTACTCCTGGCAACTGCTTGCAGCCACAAGGCCAATTGTGCTTGGTTGAAATATCTGCTATCAGTTCATACAATATCAACATAACATTATTTATGATAGTGTTTATGAGGAAGATTCCTTCAGGTCAATGTAAATTTCAAAGTATACCAATGGCAAAATCATTCATCAATGCACATTTTAAGCATCCGATTGGAAGAGTAATCAGACAAATGTGATTGACTAAGGCCTAAATTCTGTGATATTCATGTATATAAAAATCCCATCAACATTCATTCAGAGAAATTAAAACTAGAAATGTAAGTGCTACACATCAAATAGTTTCATGTATTTGACTTTAATTGAAAATGTTGTACTGCTTTAATCAAATTATATACAATACCACATACCGTAATTAAATAACACTACAAATTAGACACTGGTATATTCATTCATGAAAAGCTGTTGCATACTGCCAACACCACTTGTCATCTCTCTCAAGCTATCTTGCTAAGTGGAGCTGAACATCAGCTGACAATGGCAGTGAGGGCAACATTGTTAATATCCAATCATCAACATAAGCGTTCTTCTATACAAAACATAAACACTTCGGGAGCACACAAACATTTAATGTGTTTCACACAGTGACAAACAACACAAAAGTTATTCAAACTTTTGCTCTTGTAAGTTACATTATACCAGAATCCAGAAATTCAGTTATTTCAAGATACAGGCAAGTTTAGACATCTGATATTTGCAGGGAAGGACCTAACATCAAAACACACACAATGTCCTGGAAATCAAAATATCAAACGTGTCTATGAATGACAACAAAACAAACACTAAATGGATATAATAATCTACAAATACAAAAAATCTGCTTGTGGACAAGTGATGCAAATCATCTAACTTCCAGTCTAATGTACACATCTTCAAGGAGGCGAATTGTGTATTTAACACCACTTATGTAAAACATTGGTAAACACACTATATCACATCTGTGCCATCTCAAACTAGATCAGTTTCTTCCAGTCTGCTATTTAAGCCTAGATTATTTGTGTTTAGTCAACCATATGTCTGCAGTACACCTCTCCAGACATGCTGTCACTCACCTGGACAATCCACTCGCTGTTGGCATTTGCCATAATTTCACGTTCTTCCCAGAAGAAAGCTGAGTCGGATCGCTTCAACTGCAATGCAAATACAAAATGACATAAATCTGGCAGGTCTAAACTCTTAAAAAATAAGCAGACTAAATTCTGAGTGAAGTCATGGAAGTGACACAATTAAAGTAGTGATCAATACTGATACATGCATGATACACAAGTGGTGGTTGAAAAGCTCTGAGCTTAAAAGTACACCTGTAACATTTGAATGTTTTAATACAATACTTTACATGCTTACATGCTTCATTTGAACCAAATACACAACTATTCAGCACATTTCTGCTGGTGAAACAGTAACTAGCAATTCTTTATTGATGAAAATGGAGAACAATGGACAAGTGGACAAAACATTCATTTTAGGGGATGATACTCCTTCCTGTTGAAATGTTGATAAAATGGAGAGCAGGGATACGAAGGAGTACACATATCCTTGAAAATGATCAAAGATCAGGAGTGAGTGAGTGAGTGAGTTTTGTTTATCGATGTTTGCATCGTCAACTACGCGATACGAGTGCATCGATACAAAACACATTTAGGCAATATATCAGGATATTTATATCGCGAGGGTCCATGATACATCGATGTATCACCACAAGAGATGATATATCCTGATACAACTTAAATACTACAGTCAAGTCTCGTTAATCCGACTCCTGTTTATCCGACAATCCACTTTATTCGACACTTTTGTTGGTAACAAATTGAATAAACGTAATTTAGTCTTGTTAATCCGACAGTCCAAGAACGTGATCTGTACTCAAAATTCGATAATCCGACATCCTCGTTAATCCAGCAATTTGCCGTGCATAGGACGACGTCAGATTAATGAGACTTAACTGTACTTAAAGTTGTAAGTATTGCATTAGGAATAGGAAGGGAGTCGCTTTGAAATCCTTTGAATTTTAATAACAAATTGAACCTTAAAGGAATTTGTTTGTGTCTGCTATCTTTGTTTCATGAACAAAGGAGTTGGTGAATAAGTCAAAGTGTGTGAACATTTTTCAAACTCTGTGAACTGTAGAATACTTGTCTTCAAGTAACTGAAACATGTTTTAGTTGTTTGGCATATAAGACCATATATTAACATTTATTAACAACTATGAATGATGTCTTAGCTTTGTTAAGAAAGAGAACAAAGAAAAGATATAACTTAGAAAGCATACTTCAGAGGTTTTTTCAGTGATACTGAATTCTGATATAAATTACCTTGAATTGTTTGTGAAAGCATTGGTGCAGAAACACAACTTCCCAAGGGAAACTTCAGTTTCAAAGTTATATATATATGTTAGATCAAGGTATACTGAATATGTTTGATTGTACTTTCTAAACTATTAAATACTGAAACTTTATTAGATGAACAGCCTTTTAAGTGTGTGTGAATTTAATCCAAGTTCTCATGTATAACAAATAAAGTTTCAGTCATTTTATCTATCATATATGTTCTGTTATTAGAAATTGTAAAGTATTGTATCATTGTGTCATGATGATAATTGTCTTGCAGGTTCCTTGCCAATACTTTCATGATATATCGTCTCGCCTCATTAAACTGGTATCAGGATATATCGTCTCGAAACTTAGGCCACGATACACATAGAGATTACTAAACGAGTGTCTATCAGATACCGTTTATCTTACGAGTTGTAAGGTAAATGGTACTGACAGACACGAGTACAGTAATCTGTTTCTTACACACCATAAAATTGCACCATTTTATGGTCGAATAGATTCAAATTTAATATTTTCTCATCGTAGCTGCGCAATAATACACAACACAACGTTTATGAATGAGTGACGTAATTGGCTTCCTAATCACTATTCATCCCCATGGTGACCCTCCACAAAAGAGTTTCTGCCACATCTTCGCGTCAACAGGGCAATAGTGATAATGCAAACAAAATTAATTAAACACTCTAAAACGACAATGTTGCCATGTAAATGTGGATGATATTAATTCCTGCAAGCATAAAATATTTGAGCGTGTGACATAATCGTTATCATTTGGTGGTTGTCATCGGAAGATTGTTTTGGATATCTCTGGACATTGGGGATCTGTACTTGTGTACCAGTTTACGTTCAATGTTCTCCCATCGACCGGAGCCAAAACTATTGAGTGTGTGTAATTAGGTGCAACCCGTGTGCTTGAATGTGACATAGCTGAGGTTAAGTTCACTGTCAATGGGGGACTACTCTTCTTCGTCACAGTCTTCTCGTTTTCCCGAGCCAGAAACTGCCACTAGGAATGTTATGGAATTTACGGAGTTGTCAGTATGAAATGTGAGTTGATTACATCCTGCATGTTATGAAGACATGAACTTTGCATTATCATATGTCGGAAGAATATCTTAAGCAATGTCTTATGTGAAGATCAACCGTTCCTGTACATATTCGATTGAATAGAAAGGACGTGTGCCGCCATTTGCACTCATGAACACTTGCAAACATTGCACATTGTTTCAACGAGTGTGTTTTATTTCTGATTGTCATGAGTGAATTTGATAACATTGGAAAATCTGCATCAATTCATCTAAGACAGGCACTGACGTTATCGTGTCAGGTATTTTTTGCAAGATGATACATGATACACTTGTCGCATCTCTCCAGTAAAAGTACCAATGTTGGGCATTTTTGAATATTCTAAGGGACTCCTGGACTTTATCCCCAACGGCGATTTTCATAAAATTGTTTACGCAGGTATCACTGATTTTTCGTTTCGTTTTGAAATCATGACTAGAATCAAAGGTTTTAATAAAAGGAATTAGAAAAAACTAGATTCGTGTTATATTTATTGTAATTGTGTTTCATTGTATAAATACCTGTTTATGTTGCAATCGTGAAAATATCAGGTAGGTGTAAAGGGGTTTTTTGGCATGAGTAACAGGTTTCTGTTTGATTGAAGCACAAGTAACTTATCAATGAAGTTTAATCAGTAAAGTAGTTTGTTATGACCTGACCCTAGGTCATCACCATGGAGTAGCCAATCATGGGATTAGAAATCGATCTCACACATATCGGTATGTTTGATACCAGTTTTCTCATATGGGTTTCTCACCCATGGGTGTGTAAGAAAGCTCTATTCACAACTAGGGTTGGGTACCACGAACATTTCAGTACCACGGTATACCAAGGTTTTGATTCAAGTACCACGGTATACCAAGGTTTTTATTCAAGTACCACGGTATACCAAGGTTTTTGTTCAAGTACCACGGTATACAGTGCTGTAGTAACTAATAAGTAATGAATCCAATTGTCTTATTTAATGATTCCAATCCAATTGTCTTATTTAATGATTCCAATCCAATTGTCTTATTTAATGAATTGGGCCATGAAGTAATGTCATAACTATAATGAACAAGAATGACAAATACAAAAGCGTTTTAGACTTCTTTGTATTCTGTGAATTTCAGTCATCACAACAGGAAACTTTCACAAGAAGATGAAATCTGAAAACTTCAAAACTGAGCTCATTGCCAAGTTTAACAACTCAAACATTATGAACAAAATAAACAATCTTGCTAATTCCAAAATTCTAGGGTTAATTGAACACTAATGGTGAGGAATTATGAACATTCATGTTAATCCACCTCTCATAGCCATTCATGTACCTGACAAACCTAATGATAATAACAATAACATAATCTTGTCAAATTTTGACTATCAAATATATAGGAATGAACCCCATTCAATATCCAAACACAAACACATGATTAATCATCCTCATGATCATAAAAATATTTTCTTTAAAATAGAAATGTTTGCAGATACTGGAATAGAGCTAATATGTTTTTAAGAGCAACTACAGTTGTTAATGACAGAGAAATGTATAACCCTTTAACTGTGTATTCATGGTTTGCTCAACTCAAAATGTCAATATCTACAATGGAATTATGATCACCTCAGTTATAGTAAAGTCAACAGCCATCTTCTGCAAAAACAATATGATTCTTATCCATGTGAGACATGAATCTGCCCGACACATCTCCTCTGTTCCAGGTCCAGACAAAGGTTCAGAGGCTGCATGCTTCCATCAGCCAGGACTTACCTGTGTCTATATATTTTCGAGTCAATAGGACTCTAGGTAATAAATATTTGGGGTTCAACACATGACCACAGAGGTCAAAGGCTACATAACGTTTCAACTGATTGTAACATATGTTATATTTGGGGTTACACTTTCTCAGTAAAGTACAGATTCTAGTACTTTTGGGGGGTTGAGTCCCATCCGGGATTCGAACCCAAACCCTCAGAGTCAGGCACCTAATCGCCAGCACACAAAGTCAGATGCCTAGACCACTCAGCCACCGCAGCTTCCACAAAAATGGAAGTCGGACAACTGGTAGTCTAGCATGCGGACTTTGTGTACCCATCTGATAAGCTATTTCATAGCTTCCAATTGATTTCCAAGTATTTTACTGATACAGTGATGATAAGTGTATAAGAAATGGGGATTTCTGTACCAAAGGCAAGATTTTGCTTCTGGTATATTCTGAAAGAGCCTCTTGCATGTAGTCAGTGGCCAGTTTGCTTCACACAACTGCTAGCCAGCATTCAATAATCGCCTCCCTCTACACGCTTTAACCTCAGAGATTTCCAGACAAACACCAAACTCATGCTAAACCAAATATCAACAGATCAAGAGCTTCCCGGTCCAACAACTTCTGTGAGGTTGTCGTAACAGCTTAGTTGTTTTCACAACAAACCGTCCAAACTAATGTTGGAAATTTGGCCAGCTTCATATACAAATAACATGTTCAATGAAACAGCAACTTTTGTTTCCTTCTGAGAATCGTGGACAGTCATGAAATTTTCGAATAATATCAATGGCTGAGAGGTTGCCTTTTCTCAACAAGTGATACCTTATCAAATGCTCGGACTTAGTCAAACATAGCTACAATGTCAAACAGTAACAGTTTTAACAACATTAAACCTGGACACCTACATTAAGCTGAACAATAGGTTGAAAGAAGTTCCAATGGTTAAATCTTCATACCCTAAAACTTATACTCAGTGATGTATTCACTTCAGCA